AACTCACAGAGATCAGCCTACCTATCTCCAGAGTGCTCAGATTAAAGGTGTTTGCCATCACACTTGGCCTGTTTTTTGTTCTTTAAACAGTTTATGTAGTTACTCTGTATTGTGTTTGCATGTGCCTGCAGGTGCATGCTGGGCAGGGTGTGGGGGTCAGAGGATAGCCTCGGGTGTGACCCTCAGAGGATAGCCTCCAGTGTGGTCCTCAGGAATGCTGCTCACTCCTTTTAAGCCAGAGTTTCTCCTAGCCTGGAACTCATCAACTGTTCTTTTCCAGTTCCTGACAGGTGCCAGCCACAGTGCCAGGACTAAAACCAGGATTCTTGTCTTTGCAAGGCAAACTCCTCACCAACAGAGCCACTCCCCTGGCCTTTCTCGTCTCTTCATGTATGTATGTGTGTTCGGTGTGTATGGAGGTCTGAGCTTGACGTCCCGAGTCTTCCTCCATCCCTCTCCATCTTAGGCATGGACATGAGGTCCCTGTTTTGTTTTTAAAGATTTAATAGCCGGGCAGTAGTGACGCATACCTTTAAGCCCAGCACTTGGGAGGCAGAGGCAGGCTGATTTCTGAGTTTGAGGCCAGCCTGGTCTACAGAGTGAGTTCCAGGACAGCCAGGGCTACACAGAGAAACCCTGTTTCGAAAACCAAAAAAAAAAAAAATTAATATATATGAGTGCTCTGTCCCCTGCACGACAGAAGAGGGCAGCAGACCCTCTTGTAGCTCGTTGTGAGTCACTATGTGGTTGCTGAGAATTAAACTCAGGAACTCAGAAAAGCAGCCAGTGCTCTGAACCCATCTCTCCAGCCCTATCTCCTCTTTTTAAAAAGTAGGGTCTCGTGTAGACCAGGATGAGCTAAGATCACTGTGCCACTGAGGGTAACCTTGGACTCCTAACCGCTGCCTGCACCTCCCAGTGCTGGGTTGGGTGATAGGCTAGTTCACTACACCCAGTTTATGACTTGCCGGAGCTTCTGTGCAGCTCAGGGCTTCCCACGTCCCAGGTCAGCTCTCTACCCAGTGATCCCCATGTCCGGCGTGGGTCTGGAACTTTTACCACCCACTCTTGAGAGTACTTGGGAGCCCAGGCACAGCGCTGGCTGGGAGGGAGTGGCTCACGGCACAAACCCCGGCTTCCTCGGCTATTACTCAGGCTTCCAGAAATAGAGCCGGGTGCGCACACATATAGATCCCAAGGTTTATTTTAAGATGTGACTCACAGGATCCTGTGGGCTCTCAGCCCAAAATTAGCAGAACCGGCCAGCAGCCTTGAAATCAAGAAAGCGCAGGAAGCTGCAGAGGAACTTCAAAGGCGGGGGACGAGGGGGGACTTTCCTCTCCCTCTGGACCCACGGTGTGGGGGAGGGGACTTGCCTCTCCTTCGGGACCTAGCTTTTCTCTTGCTTCTTTCAGGTGATGAGCTGAGTTTGGTAACAAAAAGTAGAAGGATATCTGGGCACGGGTGGGGTGTCATCTTGAGGTCCTGGGCATACATAACCCACACATCCCAGTTCCGACATGCCCGCATGGAACCCTCCATATTCCAGCACTTGGGGTGCTGGGGCAGGGAGACCATGAGTTAAAACTTTCCTGGACAACATAGGGACTCTAAATCTCAATTCAAGGCCGAGGTGTAGCCCACGGCTACGGATCAGGTGTCGAACGCCCCAGTGCGGGGCTGGGGCGTGGCTAGGGTTGAGCCCCGCCTCCTCGGGGGTGGGCGTGGACAGCGGTGGAGCCTCGCCTGGAATCCTCAGTGAGAGACTGGGGGCGTGTTTGATGAGGAAGTACTGGCCCTAGCTTCTAGGAGGCACCAGGTTACACCTTTAGCTCTGGCGATGAAATCACGAAGGGCCTGGGGAATTCTCTCCAGTACTACTGAAGTTGGCTTAGGAATCGCAGCGACAGGAGCTTGTCTTGTAGGGAAAGACGAGCTTCAGTCCGGACAGCACTAGGAAAAGTGGAAACTGGTACCCACAACGCAGAAGAGCCCGCGTAGGAATCCCCTGGAGTAAGTCAAGTCAAATAAAAACCCTGAGGAAGCCAGGCGTCGGTGGCGCACGCCTTTAATCCCAGCACTTGGGAGGCAGAGGCAGGTGGATTTCTGAGTTCGAGGCCAGCCTGGTCTACAGAGTGAGTTCCAGGACAGCCAGAGCTATACAGAGAAACCCTGTCTCGAAAAACCAAAAAAAAAAAAACAAAAAAAAAAAAAACCCTGAGGAACAAGGATCGGAGCTCCCTCTGAAGGGCGTGAAGAAGTAGGTCAGATAAAGAATGCTCACCCTTGAGACTCCACCGCAGCAGCAGGCTAGGGGGCTGCAGCTCAAGGCTTGGTCTTAGTTTAGACGAACGTGAAACAAGGAAAAGAAAAGGCGTTCAAGGTCCTTCGGGCCCACCGAAGAGCGTCTCAAAAACACCGCCAGCAACAATAACAACAAACACAAGCAGGAGGGACATGGCGGCAGGCCTTTATCTCCGCACTCAGGAGGTAGAGGCAGGCGGATCTCTGTGAGCTTAAGGCCAGCCTGGGCTACATAGAGGCTACCCAATGAGCTCCTCTCAAAATAAAAAAAGTAAAACAAGGTAACAAAATCCAAGGCAGATGCCAACAAATCAAACAATAGAGCAATCCAGGAAGATCCAATGCAGACTTCTGGAAAGGATAACCTCGGCTCAGGCTCAAGCCCAGGCTATCCACCTGCCTCTGCCTCAAGAGCCCCGTGTAACACGTGTGTGTGTGTGTGTGTGTGTGTGTGTGTTACCAAGCCTGGCAAGTTCAGTTTCTTGCTGTGCTTACGTCATAGCAAGCCACAGTCTTTTAGCATATCATTTGAGGTTTTGGAACAAGGGCTCACTGCATTTCGCAGGCTGGCCTGGAATGTTCTGGGTAGCTCAGGGCGACTTCTAGCTACTGGTCCTTCTTTTGGGGGCTGGCAAGTGCTAGAATGAGGGGTGTGAGCCATCTCCCATGTAATAGAGGAAGAGGGAAGCAGCTATTCAAAGCAGCTGCTGAGCTGTTACCAGCTCACCTGAAGGTGACATTACTTTCACAAGGTTTTGGGGGGAGAGGACTTTGGTATTAGAAAGATTGGAATGGCCTGAGAGGGAAATCCTAGCTCTCTGTAGAGTTCTGGGAAGGTCAGAGAATAACTTTGTTTTGCGCTTTTAATTGAGAGCCTCTGAGCTACAGGGTCCAATTGGACTGATGATTTATTAATTTATTTATAGCAGGGTCTATAGCCCTGGTTAACTTGAAACTTGCCCTCTAGCCTAAGCTGGTCTCCAACTCACAACTGCAACTCCCTGCCTCTGCCTACTGACTGGGACTGATGGTGTGTAACACTTGTGTATGAGTGTTTTGCTTGAATGTGTGTTTATGCACCATGTGTGTGCCTGGTGCATGCTGAGGCCAGAGGGCGGCATTGGAACCCTTGGAATTCAGTTACAATGGTTGTGAGCCATCGCCTGAGTGCTGGGAAAAGAACCCAGGTTCTCTAAAAGAGCAGTTAAAGAGGAACTTTGGAACAGTTGTTCCCTCTCCCACCCCACCCCCACCCCATGGGAGAGGCTAATTAACATTCTTCTGTCAGAGGACAATTGCTGGATTAACCTTCAGAGGAGAAAGGGGGAGGCTGATTAACATTCCTCGGACCACTGGGAAGGGAACCCACCTGCGGGTAGACACATTCCGCAGGACTGACCAACCTTTGCCACCTACAGACAAGGGAGGTTCTTGCCACCTCATTCCCCAAAGACCAATCGGTTTAAAAGTCACACTGTTTTGCCAATCATATTGTGCCTAGTCACTGTTTCTCTAGTCCGTCCTTAAACTGTATAAAAACTGACCAAATGGGTTGCATTGGGTCATTAAAATTCCTCTTCCTTTTTGCATCAGTTTACGACTGCGAGTACCTCACTCCCTAAGAGTCTTACACAGTCTTAGTGACTGAGCCGTCTCTCTAGCCCATTTCATGTTTTGGGTTTTTGGTTTTTTGTTGTTCGGAATGATTTTACTCTGTAGTTCAAGAGGGCTTTAAATAGTGATCCCTTGGCTCAGCTTCCCAAGAGTTTGGATTATAGGTCATAGATTTATGGTTTTGTTAGTGTGAAACCTTAGAAAGTAGAAAAATATCCTCAAAAAGAATGAAAAGAAGCTGGGCGTGGTAGTATGCGCCTTTAATCCCAGCACTCGGGAGGCAGAGGCAGGTGGACTTCGGTGAGTTCAAGGTCAGACTGGGCAACAGACAGGACGGCCAGGGCTACCTTGTCTCAAAAAAAAAATCCAAATAAGTAAATAAACAATAAACGGATAAGATAGAAAAGTGGAAAAAAGGAATAGAAAAACGAAAGAAAAGGAAAAATTGAAAAAGGAAAAAGAAAAGAACCCGGAAAAACAGAAAAGAGACGGGAAGGGAAAGAAAAGGAAATGGAAAGAAAAGAAAAAAGTAAAGCAAAGCGAGTCTGCGCAACTGGGATTTGAACTTGTCCCCGCCTGGTCTCCCTGGCTTTCCTCTGCAGGGTTTCCCAGGGTCCCCGCTTCCGGTTGGCGGCGGTGTCCGAGGGCAACCGAGGACGTGCGTGCGCCCCTGCGTGTGTACGTGCGTGCGTCGCCGGAGGCGGGCGAGTCCAAGGGGGCGTGGCGTGCGAGGGGTGGTGCGCGCGGTGCGGCGGGCGGAGGCTCTGGGCGCGCACGGCCTCTTGGCTCCCGGCCTCCCCCGCGCGCGCGCGCCGAGTGGTTCAGCCCGACCCCCCGGCTCATTGTGCCTTCTCCTCACGCCGGCCCAAGATGGCGGCGGCGCTAGACGCCCCGGGCCTGTGACTCCTACAAAGAGGGGAGCTGGGGCTACACGGGAGCGGCGGCCGGGGCACAGGCCGGGCCGTCCGTCCTCAGCCGTCCGCCCCGCGTCCGCCCGAGTCCGCCCGCCCGGCTTCCCGCCGGCGGCCCCGCCCCTCCCCCAACCGCCCGCCTAGCATGGTGCGGCGGCCGCGCGCGCCGACATGGGCGAGAAGCTGGAGCTGAGGCTCAAGTCGCCTGTGGGCGCCGAGCCCGCCGTCTACCCGTGGCCGCTGCCGGTCTACGTGAGTGTACTTGCGGGGAACCCGGGGGTGGGAGTCGTGGGGCTCCGCGGTTCCGCGGCGGCGGCGCGTCCTCGGCCGTTCCCGGCCCGCGCCTGCCGTTGCCCGGACGCGGCCCGTCGCGCTGTCGCCGCCGCCGACCCGGAGCCCCGCGGCTCCAGCCTTCGAGGACCTGAGTCTGGGCCGACATTGCGGGCAGGGCTGTAGGGTCTGGGAAGTCGGGGACGCCTTGTCCTCGTGGCGAACCCTCACGTTGTCACTTCAAGTTGTCACCACGTCCCCCATCCTGTCCTCTACCTTATCCTGCTGCCTTCTGCCGTCCCTACGCCCTTTCGTGTTGTCATCGTCTGCTGTTGAGCAGGTGTTAAAAGGAGCCCTAGGAAGTCAGGGCGGTTGGCGCTTCATGCCAGTTTAGGTTGTCCCCCACGTTAGTGGCATGGTAGGAGGGCTCTGAAGAGTTGTTCTTTCATGTCAGGGCGCCCGGCTAAAGGACTTGAGAAGTTAGAGAGGTTGTCATTTCAGTTTGTACCTCATGTGTCGTGTGATGTTGGCAGATTGGCCTGGAGGTGCCGTGGAAAGCTGGAGCAGTTGTCTCCTAATGTTGGTGGCATGGCTAGAGGGGACTGAAGAAGTCTGGAGGTTGTCCTCTCAGGCTGGTGGGCAGGGCTCCTGAGACTCTGGAAAGTTGGGGGGTGTTATCCCCTAATCTCAGTGACCCTTGAGAAACGACAGGCAAAGTGGAAGTGCTAGAGGCAAACGGGTCCTATAAGTCCAGGAGGGCCTGTGGAAGTCAGTGCCCTGGCCCCTGGTGGGCCTTTGTGTGCTTTCCAAAGCAAAGAAAGCAGCGGGGTTTCCTAGGTGCTGCTGAGTTCACCTCCTCATTGGGATCTGGTGGAACAGGTGCATCCTGGGATGCCTTGCACCTGTCCACTGCCTCTTCTCATTGGGCAGCCCTGTGTGTCCTTGAAAGTTCCCACAGGTGTCCACTCAACTCTTCTGAGGGCAGATGTCTCAGCAACAGAGTCCTATGATCTGAGTTCCATTTCTGGGACAGGGCACAAGGGAGAGTACCAACTCCCACAAGTTCTCTGACCTTGCTGTGTGCACAAACACAGCCACTCAAAAATGTAGTAAGAATTTAAAATTCCTGTTGTATGTATGCTGGCACACACTTTTAATCCTGGCACTGGGCAGAGACAGAGGCAGGAGGAGCTCCAGACCAGCCTGGTCTATACAGTGGGTTCCAGGTTGGTGGCCTGTCTAGAAAGAGTATGAGAAATTGGGGAGGCTTGTACCCAATTATTATATTACCATGACTGGAAGGACTGTGGCAAATGGGAAAGTTCTCCCCTCGTGTTGGTGGAGGCTCGGGCCGTGGGAAGTCTGGCAGGCTGTCTGGAAGAGAGGAGGAACACTGTCATACTTTGCAGACACGGCCCTTCTGACTAGCCACCTTTTGCAGGGTAGTTCTGTGAGTTGCGGTCACTGTCACAGTTAAAGCGCAGTATACTTTAGCCACCCCAGCCTCCTCCCCTTCACTGTCCCTCTGTCATCTGCCTCCTACTTCCTTGGCTGTCACATTGTGTTCTCTGCAGGCAGTTTTTTTCCAGAAAGTCCAGTGAATGATGAGCAGCTGCGAGTGTTCACCCGGGAGAATGTGTCTGAGGCCTGCCCACCCACGCTGTCTGAGGGCTGGAGGCTGCCCCAGGCTTTCTTTTAGTTGGGCAGCATCCTTTGGGCAGTGAGCCAAGATGGGTGATCTTTCATTCCGCTAGTCACAGGATGCCTGTGCTGGTCCAGTGTTTCTTTTTCTATTGTTTCTTTGGTCTTGTTATATAGTGGCTGACCTGTAGCTCAGGCTGGCCTTGAACTTGCAGTGATATCCTGCTTCTGCCCCAACTGCTGGTTGGGATGATGGGAGAGAGACTGTGTGTGTGTGTGTGTGTGTGTGTGTGTGTGTGTGTTGGAGGGAAGGGGAGATTAGACTCTGTGAGCTCCAGACACCTGCGGGTGGCCTTGTTCAAGCTGAAGCTGTCCCTGTGAACACCAAGGAATGGGCTGCTTGGTCTGTGCCAAGTGGACAGTCAGTCAGCTGCATCCCCAGAGTTGTCATAGATGAGTTGGAAGGGCTAAAGAACTACAGCCTTGTTGATGCCCGGTGGGATGGCACTGCTGCTTTGCCTTTGCTCTGTTCCCTGGTGATGAAGACTGAAAGTTCACCCAGTGACACTGGCCCAGTCACCCTGTCATGTGAGTCAGGCCTTCATTTGAGCCTGGCGGGAACTGGCTTTCCAGTGGCTGCTGGGAATGACCGCCTAGTGCCTTTTCCTTGCTGGCCCAGATCTCACTTGGCAAGATCGGCTCTGCTGGCCCAGCCCAGCTCCTGACAGCAGGCCCTTTCCAGATGTGGCTGTCACACTGCTCTCTCCAGGAGCCAGCAGGTGGCAGGGTGGGGAGGTAGGGCCTTGGCCGACACCAAACAGTGTCAGGTCTGCCATGCTAGCTCCCAGGAAGCGGAGGCAGGAGGATGAGGAGTTCAAGACCAGCTTTGACTATACAGTGAGTTCCACGCCAGCCTACATCAAACTCATGTTTCAGGTCCCTTCCGCCAATAATCAAGCAAACAGAAAAATCTCATGTTGCCCTGTGATCCCATTACTGAGGGATTGGGAAAAGGCCGGGCCCACCCACCTACAGACCTTCCCAATCTATTCCATTTGTTTTTCGATGAGGCCTCAACATAATCCGACTGGCCTTCATCTTTCTGCCTCCCCCCCAGCGTGCTGGGATGCTAGGTGTGCGCCACCAGGTCTGGCTTTATAATAATCCTTTGTAAAAAGCACCTGTAAGCTGCCTTTGGTGTGCCTGGGGCACAGAGGATAGAAAGACATTGATCACTGCAGGCTCTGGAACTTGACAGAATAACCCCTTTGGCAGAAATGATGCAGATGTCATTTTTAGCTGTTTGCTTGGCAGGCAGCTTAGGGGACATACCTGAGAGGTAGGGCTAGGGCGGTCTTCCTGTTGGTGACTCAGTAGGCCATGTGTGCTGGCGTGTCTCTTGTGATGAGTTCAGGAGTCCTGTGGGTGGCCGGGTGCATCGTGCTGTGGGTAGAATGAGCCAGCCTCCGTGTGAGTGACTCAGAAGGTATTTTCTCCTGCTGCCTTCTGCGGATAAGTGTCCTGCTAATCTGTGCTCACATGGGCAGGAGGCGGGTTGACCTTCAGCCTGCCTGTGTGGGCCCATGACCTGCTCCAGAAGGAAGGGGTGATAATGGTGGGCTTCCATGGTTGGCAGTGTGAAACACTGGCTCTGCGCTTGCCTTTCAAACCACTTACTGTGTTCATGGTGAGAGGAAACTGCTGGGGAAACCACCGACTGGCCTCTGCATGGGAGCACTGCCCTTTTTCAAGTTGGACTTTTCCAAGATGGTCTGATTCTGTCTGTACCCAGGGCAGTTTGGCACTCACCATGTAGCCCACGCTAGCTTCAAACTTAGAACAATCCTGTCTTGTTCTTCCAACTACTATGAATATAGGTATGAGATGTCTTGCTGGCTTCAAGTTACACATGAAGTTAAGTTAATGAGGAAGGCCCACCTCTCCACAGCATTCCCTGTGGGGTATGTGACACTCTGGCAGGTGTCATTACTTCTGCCATATGGAAAGGTTAGCCAGCCATTCTCATGGGCAGGGGCGGGGGGTGTCTGTCCTTAATTGACACTTGGTGATGCCTAGTGACATTTGTGGTTGTCATAATTAGAAAAGAGGGCAAACTTGGGCTCTGAGCCCCTGCAGAGTGGGATTCTGGGTATCAGAGACACAGGCCTGCCATCCCATATCTCAGGTTGGATAAGTGGTCTGTTGGTTGGAGCAGACCTGTCCTCTTTTTGCAGGGTCCTCATTATGTAAGCTGGGTTTAACTTTCCAGAACATTGTCTGACTGTTCAGTACAGATGTCCACCCACCTGACTGTTGGCCTGTTGCTAGCTTAACCCAAACACAGAGGGCACCAGCTCTGGGGCCAAAGCGGGACTACCTTCTGAGGTCCTTACACAGGCTGGACTACCACAACTACCACAGGCTGCTCTGCTAGTGGTGTAGGTTTGCCAGGGGCACAGGCAGAGTAGACCTGTTGAGGGAGGGAGCCTCATGCAGTTACTGGATCACATGCCTCCTCCCTCCTTTACCCTTCCTCCTCCAACTCTTCCCTCCCCTTTCTCTGTGTCTCTAGACTCCTGACTCTGCCTTCACCTCCAGGGTGCTAAGATGACACTGGCCTGGTTTACATGGTGCTAGTGATGGAGCCCAGGGTTTTGTGCACTCTAGGGAGTGCTGGGCCCACTAAGCTATGTTCTAGCTCAGAGGGAGAGCACCTGCCCACTTGTGGGAAGTCCCAGCACTCCAAAACCAGCACTCTAGACAGGTTACCTAATAGGGTCTGCGGAATATTCAGAGGTCAGGCAGGTATCACAGCTCTCTAGTTCTAGAACAGTCCATCACCCCCATGAGCAGTCATGTGTCCCCAGCACCAATCTGTCTCAGGATGATCTGTCACTGGTCCTGTCGCCAATGTCAGGACCCTGTGCAATGTTTGCCCCTGGCTTGTGTGGAGACGTCCAGTCTAGGTCATAGGCATTGAAAGGTGACCTTGTCTCACCTCCATACTAGGACGGAGGAGTCACAGGATAGACTGGGGCGGAACTGGGATGGGAAGGGCATTCATAGACACCAGGCAACTTTTTTTTTTTTTTTTTTAAGGTTATTCGAGACAGGGTTTCTCTGTATAGTCCTGGCTGTCCTGGAACTCACTCTGTAGACCAGGCTGGCCTCGAACTCAGAAATCCGCCTGCCTCTGCCTCCCAAGTGCTGGGATTAAAGGCGTGCGCCACCACTGCCCGGCAGCAGAAACTCTTGTTGCTGCAGGGCAGGCAGCTGGCCCAGGTAGGCTGGCTCTGGCCTCATCTCTGTCCTTGTGAGCAAGATAGTTGTCCTTCTGTGGACCTTTGAGTCCCCATTCCGTACCCACTTCTTGCCCTTCAGGAAGGTGGGCACCTAGGAAGCTGGGTGTCCCCATGTGTGCTGTGAATTAATGCCTTGGAGCTGGGCCAGGTCCTGGGGCCCTCTGTGGACTTTTGAGTTCAGGGTCAAGCCAAAACAACAACAACAACAACATTCTCTAGGCTGGGTGTGTCTGTTGCCCCAGCTGCTTGGGAGCCTGGGACAGAGAGATTGCTTGAGCCCAAAAGTTGGAGGCCAGCCTTGATAGCATCATGGGCCCCCCACTATAAAGCTACCAGAAAGTTATGGACTGAGTGTCTTCCTTCCCCTCCTCTTCCTTCTTTGTGTGTGTGTGTGTGTGTGTGTGTGTGTGTGTATACATACTCACGTGTGAGTAGATGTACCCCAAGCCAGGAAGGTGGTGTGCATTCTTGGGACAGCCCATCAGGTTGAGCCTGCATATGTGATATGACCATAACCCTGTGTGGTCTTTTCTAAGGGTCTCCTTCCTTTCACAGGTGTAGTGTGCAGGGCCATGTAGTACACCAAAGGTGGTTAGTGCTATACATTTGGCCAAGCTGCCCACCCGGAGCCAGGGACCTTAGTCCCCCTTGGTGTGGGACTGTGTGCTAATGACTGAGGTCATGGCTCCACTACTGTCTCAGGCAGTACTGAGGCATCCCAATGGTCATGTTCTGTCTCCCGCTGGTCTTTGGTTCTGGGATGGAGATATGGACTCCTTTGAGCTGATCCTTGATCAAGGGCCCTGTCCTGTGATTGGTTCTGTGTGAGGCCCCTGCCTTTCCTGCCCTTGCACAGGCGATGCTCTGTTTGGCTGTTGGTCACCCTGCATGTGTTCTAAGCTGTTGATGGTCATTGGTTGGGGCAAGTCCAGGAGGGTTTGGAACAGCCTCCCACACCTTTCCCTGTAACACTTGCTGTGATGGTATTTGGCGGCCACAGAAGACAGTGTTTTGTTTGTTTGTTTGTTTCTTCACACAGGATCTCTCCATGTTGCCTGGCTGTCTTGGAATTCACTTTGTAGACCAGGCTAGCCTTGAACTCAGAGATCCCCCTGCCTCTGTCTCTGCTGTGACTAAAGATATGTGTCACTGCTCCTAACCACTTGGGTGTTGTTTTGTGGAAGGAATGAGCTGCTGTGGTTTGGTGACCCCGGCAGCACTTGAGTCCAGGGCAGGATTAGGCATTTCAGGTTAGTGCTGGTCCTGCTCACAAATCCAGAAAGGACTGAAGTCGCTCAGCAGGTGTTGACAAGGTCTGGGAAAGAGAAAAAGGCAAACTGTCTTAGGCACTCAGCAGAGAGTTCCTGGTGCTGCACTAGATGTAGGCTGCCCCTGTACAGAGAGACCAGCATCTCTCTAGAAGCCAGGCTCCCGGGCTGCGCTCAGCACAGTCCACGGCTCCATGTTCATCCCTTTCCTAGGGACCATGACTGCCCGGGGCATGGGCACAGCTGAAATAATCTGCTCTTCTTAGTTTGTAAGCTCAGGACTGTGAGGGGACATAGTAGGCCCAACAAAACTCAGTGTGGTCTGGTCCTCAGTAAGTTGGGAAGCCATAAGAATCTGCAAGATAATCAGTCCCAATGCTTGGGAGGTCGAGACAGGAGAGCCTCAGAACGCCAAGGATTGGGCTCACTGCATGGTGTTGGAGGCCTTGCAGAGCATGAATGAGGCCATGGGTTCTCTCCTGAGTGCACAGGCTCACACCAGTGCTAGTGGTTTTTGTTGACAGCGCACTAGGGCTGGAACTATGCCTTGTTCATGGCAAGCAAGTGTGTGCTGAGCCACGTACCCACCAGGCCCTCTCTAGAGACCACCAGTGTGTTTAGAACCCTTCCAATATTGTCCAGGGCTGCTCTAGGCTGAGGGAATCCTTCCCTTTTTCTCCCCTCCTCGCCTCTCTTTCATTTCTGTCCCTGTCCTCCCCCCAAAACAACAACAACAATAAACCCCCTGCCACCCAAACACAGGGTTTCTCTGTGTGGTGCTGGTTGTCGTGGAAGTAGCTATGTAGTAGACCAGGCTGGCCGTGAATTCATAGGGATCTTCCTGCTTCTGCCTCCTGAGTGCTGGGATTAAAGGTTTTTTTTTTTTTTTGGAAGATAGTTCTATTTATTCCAGGCCCGCCTGTCTGCCTGTACCCTGCAGAGGGATAGGATGAGAAGTGGGTGCCACCAGATCCAACTTCGTTTGCTCTGTTTTCAGACAAAGTCTCATTATGTAGACTGGCAAGCCAGGCATTTATTTTTTCTTTCTTCTAAAAAGTGTTTTTAATTTTCTGTGTATAGTTGTGTTACCTGCATGTGTGTCTGCACCACATCCATGCACTGCCTATTGAGGCCAGAAGAGGGCATTGTATCCACTGGAGCTGGAGTGACAGGCTGTTGTGAGCCACCATGTGTGTGCTGGGAATTGAACCTGGATCCTCTGCTAGAGGCCAGCTAGCCACCTGTCCAGCTACACAGCATTTCTAAAACCTTTCTGAGTCCAAGCTTGTGAGCCAGTGCCATGCTTGCCCGAGAGCTGTGACAGCCGCCTGGGTTGAGCACCCAACAAGTTACCAGAGAGTGGCCCAGGCTCAGTATCGCATGCTGCAGGCAGGCAGGCCCTTCCTCTCCAGCAGTGTTGAGTAGATGCTCATCTCTGTTCTTCCCAGTCTCCAAGGCGTCAGGCCGATATCCTACGCCCTGGGTGCTCAGGAGTGCTTTGGGTAACCTCAGGACAAGGCTAATCCTGAGGAGACTAGGTGCGCTGGGTATTTATTCACAGCTGGCGGAGCATGTGTAAGTGTGTGTGCGTGCGCACGTGTACACGCTGCCTGCCTGCCTGCCTTTTGTCTTCCTACGCATGCATTCGTGCACGTGTTCTCCAGTGCCTTTGTTGTTACACAGTGAGAAGGAGGTGAAACATTGGCTCACAACACATCTGCCCCGCTGCCGTGCAGCTTCTCTGGGGAGATGTGTGCAGTTACTGCTTCACCCCAGACAGTGCACTAGCCACAGACTACAGAATCGGTCTCATAGTTTAGGAGAAGTGTGAGTTCACTGGAGTTACTTAGTGAGTGTGGGTGACTCAAGGCAGCTTGGGGTTCCCCCCACCAGCTGCCTGGTTCAGTCTTCTTTCCCTAGCACTTGGGAATTATGGAAATGTCATGCACTTCCTCAGCCTCAGACTTAATGAGCCTTCCTACCATGAACACTCCCTGACCCCTGTCTTAGTGGGCTCATGTCCAGACATCCACAGCAGGAGACTGTCAAGAGACTTAGGGTTGTGGGGCAAACTGTGTGAGCCCACTTCAGTGTTCAAGGGCCGCTTGACTGTTTCCTGTCATCTGTATGTAGCTTGTGGCTATGCTGGACACAGCACTGAGTCCATTGTACAGCAGAGGTGATGGCTAGGACTCAGCAGAGTAAAGAGCCTGGGCTCTGGTAGACCTAGCCATGGTGTTTGTGTGTCCCGTTGTCATGAGGCAGGCCTACAGCCTTCATCATTCTACAGCTGCTTCATTACTTTACAGCGCACTTCTCTGGTAGAGCTGGGGGCTGTGCAAAACCAGTATGCAGTGGATGTGAAGGGCAGGAAGCTCATAGGGTCTCTGGCCAGCCCAGGGGGGAGCGCTGCACCTCCTGCTTCCTTGTCCTTCCTCCTCCCTCTTTCACTTTCTGTGAGTGTGTAATGGGCATCCTTGTGGATCATCTTGTGGTGACAGGTTTGAGAGCTGGCAAGCTGGCCCTGAGTGGTCATGTTGGGGTGAGGCTTGACTTCAGGCACAGCCCTCATGCTGGCCAGTGGACTGCTGTTTCCGTTCTGTCGGTGGGAACGCTGGCTTAGTGGGACTCTGCAGAATCTGCCTACACCCGTCAGGTTTGCAGGGAGACAAAGTTCTGAGTTAGGCTCCAGCTCTGGGGAATGTGTTGAATCAGCGTCTCTGTGGGGTCCAGGTGTTGTAGGTGTGCATTGTGGAACAAGAGGAGTTGGGGTGTCACTGTGGGGTTGTGGGACCAACTATGCTGTCTTTTCTCGTTCAGGACAAGCACCATGATGCTGCTCATGAGATTATCGAGACTATCCGGTGAGTGCTGGGTGGGGTTAACACTGGGCTCAGGACCTGCTTCCTGAGCTTCCTAGCACATCCGCTGTGCTGTACTCACTGGGACCTCTTGGGAAGTGGCAGGAGGAGCCCTGGCAGAGGCATCCAGTTGCAGGACATCTCTCCATGGCCCCTGTCACACACTGTGTGTCTGGGAAAACCTCAGTTGTTTGTTCCCCCTGACATGGTGGGGATGGGGCCAGCTCTCACATGTGCAGCCTCTGAGCTGCTGCCTCCTGTGTGATGGAACTTGGGACGTCTCTGTGTCCCCCTGTCTTTCCTTCACTAGTCTCCACCTTTGGATTGGACAAAGATGGGAGTTTGTAAGGACCACTAAGGCCTGATGTTACTGAGTAGGGTGGGCCTCCTTCCTATGACACCTGCGGACACATGGTGCAGGGTACCTGCCTGTTGGGTGGATCTGCAGCCTTCCTTCTAAAGCTGTTGCCCTCTGCGGCTCCTGTCATAGTGGACATAGATTGCTGGGGAAGCCCTGGCAGACCGTAGAGACTGGACTCTTAGATTGCCATTGAGTGTTCTGAGGTGGAGGCAGCAGAAGCAGTGGGGCTTACAGGCCAGCCCGGACTGGAAAGAGGCCAGTGAGTGTAGCGCTAACCTCGGGCAGTTCATCTCTGGAAGCCATGTGAGTGAAGATGGAAGGAGGGGCCAGTTGCAGACCCTCTGACCCCTATATGTCCTGTGGTACATGTGTCACCCTATCTTGTGTATTCACAAATGCATCCGTACCCACCGTCCACCCCTTTGCACGAATAACAACTAAGGAAGCCAACCCACACCCTGTCCAGCCACCTGGCTAAGTGTCCAGGAAGCACTTTCGGTAGAGAGTGTGTCTAGGCGGCTGGAGGAGGGAAACTGGCCGGCCCACACAGTGGTTCCCAGCAGAACTTGGGAGGCAGAGGCAGGATTGTCTCTATGACTTTGAGGCCAGCCTGGTTTGCAGCTTGGTCTACATAGGGAGCTCAGGACAGTCAAGGCTGTGTGTGCACACATGCACATACTCCAGAAAGCGGGCTGAGGCCAGCAGGACCTCTGTGTTGGGTTTCAGGTGGGTCTGCGAGGAAATCCCAGATCTCAAGCTGGCCATGGAGAACTATGTCCTCATCGACTACGACACCAAAAGGTGAGCAAGGCGGGGCCGAGGGCTGCGGCTCTGGGTGGTGGGCCGAGGGCTGCCAGCTGTCTAAGCTTCTGGGAAGCTCTTTTGGTAGAAGAGTATATTTGGCTGGAGGAGTGACGCAACCCCTTCCTAGTGCCACTCCTCCACTGTGCCCTCCTCCACTGTGCCCTCCTCCACTGTGCCCTCCTCCACTGTGCCCTCCTCCACTGTGCCCTCCTCCACTGTGCCCTCCTCCACTGTGCCGTCCTCCACTGTGCCCTCCTCCACTGTGCCCTCCTCCACTGTGCCGTCCTCCACTCTGCACTCCTCCACTGTGCCCTCCTCCACTGTGCCCTCCTCCACTGTGCCCTCCTCCACTGTGCCGTCCTCCACTGTGCCGTCCTCCACTCTGCCCTCCTCCACTGTGCCCTCCTCCACTGTGCACTCCTCCACTCTGCCCTCCTCCACTGTGCACTCCTCCACTGTGCCCTCCTCCACTGTGCATGTTGAATTGATGTGTGAGACATCACCAGGGCTGGTGAGGGGGCTGCTGGCCTTTTTACAGCATCAGGTCCTGCCAGTGCTGTGCTGTTGGGCCTCCACCTTGCCTCCATAGGTGCTGGGGAGGCCAGTCCTTGCCCCCACCCAGGGCCTCCCCTCCCAAACAGTGGGTGGAGAAACAAAGGCATCCCTGAAATGCTGCTGCCTACAAGCCAACTTAGTTTTTCTTTGAGAAAGGGTAGCCCAGGCTCCACCTCCTGTTCAGAGCCTGCTCAACCTGATACTGCCTGAAAAGTTTCGCTTAACCTATGACCTCATTATTAGAAAGGACTCCTGAGCTAGCCAGCTTTAGTGACAATGGGACAGTCCCCTGGCTGGGCCCCTGCCCTATGACTGACATCAGAGTCTTAAGTGGACTGGAGCTCACTGCTGCCCCAGGGTCGAGCCCCTGTCCTGATATAGTTGGGGTGACTCCAGCCCTCCATCTCAGCACCTCTGTGAAGGTCCCAGACCTCAGGAACTACTTTTTCCATGTGAGGAACCCACCCAGAACCTTGCAGTGGAACCCTCCACCCCACTGATAGTAGAGTAGGCTTTCTTACCTAGTTGACCTCAAACTCCTTGGGCTCACATGACTTAAATTCCAAGTAGCTGGGACTGCAGTTGTGTATGCCAACACCTTCCCCTGCTTTGGCTTTTCCCAGTCCAGGGAAGGCATGCTCTGTTCTCTGGCTGTTGCTGTCCTGGGTTCCTTTTAAGAGAAAGAAGGGTGTAAGACACTGACTGGGTCCAGTTCGCGTTCATACTGTAACACACCAGAGTGCTGGGGCATCAAGTGGCATTGTGTGACTCCCTCACATGGGGAGGAGGCTGTCTGTGTGTCTTAGTGTTCCAGAGCATTTTGTCCCCAGCATGAGGCTTCTCCTGGGCTCTTCGGGCATTTAGGGCGTCCCTGAATATACGGGGTGTGGAGCAGCACCCTCATCCCTAAAACTGTGCTTCTGCCTGGTGTTCAAAGTGCACAGGGATCTTCTCAGAGAAATTTGAGGGGTCCTGCTGCCCCAGGCCTGTCTAAAAGCTACAGATCCCCCTGCACCTGGCCCCTGCTAATGGCAGCCTGGAGTCCAGAGACTGGCACGGCTTCCACTGCCATGCAGTCCAGGGCATTCTGCCTGCTTGCTTCCTTTTTAAAGGGCTTCATTTATTTTTACTTTGAGCGTGAACATTTGCCTGTTTGTATGTCTCTGCACCATATGCAAGCAGTACCCATAGGGGCCAGGACAGGGCATAGGATCCCCTGGAGCGGAAGTTACTGCCGGTTGTGATCCTCCACATGGGGGCTGAGAACACCGCTAGCCTGTCTCACATGCTCCAACTCCACTTTCCTTTCTTTTTTGGAGACAGGTCTCACTGTGTAGGCCTGGCTGGCTTGAACTTGTGGTATTGTCCATCTCTGCATCTTTCCACTGTAGCAGGAGGTATTAGACATGAGGCGTCCTGCTGGCTTCCGGCTCAGCTGCCATGTTCCCACACTAAGCCCATTTTGTCTCAGCGTGTCTGGAGCTCCTGAGCTGGTTCTGCCAGGCTAGTCTCTCTAGCTTGCCCCATAGCGACCAGTCGCTGTGCTTCCAGATCTGGTTTGCTCGTCCCTGGAGCCGCTAGTTTCTTCAGAGCCATAACCACCCGGTTATCGGAGGACCCACTTTACAGTAACTGAGTAAATCAAAACTCCAGATGCTTAAGTTAACTAATCCAGGGATTGTATCTGTCAATAAAATGTCAACACACAAGATGCCTATACAGTTAAGAAGGTCGTCCCAGTTACCCTACCCTTTAGATTTCATATCTACCTAGGATCCATGTCCACAGCCATTTTGCCTCCCTCGCTTTCCCTCCCTCCGGTTTCTTTCTGTCTCCTTTCTGCCATCCTTAGCTCCGCCTCCCTTTTTCCTGACCAATCAATTGGGCAGGGAAATTTGTGCCGCATTCCACCTCCTACGATCTGGGGCTGTCAGTGAGAGCCAGTGCCCCTTCCTGTTGTCTCACATGCCCCTTACAGCTCAGAGGGGAGCCCAGGCTACCCACCTTCTGCCTCATTTGAGATGGTGTCTTGGTTTTCAATGCTGCACATGCCAACCCCGCCCCCTTCTGCCTTAGAAGGATGAGTAAGTCAGGACCTCACACTGCCCTGCTTCAGGTAGGTTCTGAGGACACGAACTCGGGACCTCATGCTTAGTAACAAGCTCATTAGCTGCTGAACCGTCTCCCCAGCCCTCGCCCAGGTCTTTGTTATGACTTGTTCTTAAAGTTTCTCATCTAAGTGGCACAGTCTGACTGGAGTTGACATGTCAAGTCGGCTACCAAACTGCCCTTGGGCTTGGTCCTGTGGCCAGCGACTGTCTGAGTACAGAGCCTCTGGCTGGCCTGCCATGTTGGTGTTTTAGAGCCTGGTGGCCTCCCTGGAGGCTTCTGGATGGGACATTGATTTGTCCAGCTCTACACGTCTGTGAAAGCTGGGTACATTGCAGCCCAATAACACTCACTCTCACTCTCTTCTTCCTTTTTCAGTTTTGAAAGCATGCAGAGGCTGTGTGACAAATACAACCGGGCCATCGACAGCATCCACCAGCTGGTAAGTGGCTCCCCACTTAGGAGGCTGTCCACTCTCACTAGGTTTGCGTGGTGCTGGCTCCTGGGCCTCCCGGGCAGCCAAGCACAGGAGTACCCGCAGTCTGTAAGCTGTGAAAGACGGGTGGATAGAGCAGTTGGCATGGTGAGGCAGGGGAGTCAGGTGACAGGACAAGACCCAGCTGGCACCGGCTGGCTTCCTCAAGTAGCTTTTTGGGGTTATTGCTGCTACACAGACAGACCTTTGCTTCTGTGCCTGTCCCTGTGTGCTGCCACAGAGGTATAGACAGTCAGCACCTTCCCTGAACTACGACTTCCCTCCTCTGCCCTGCAGCTGGGTCATAACCTGGAGCCTCTGGTCTGCCTGCTGTGGGTTGTCTAAAGCTATGCTCACCTGCCTGCCTGTCTGCCTGCCTCAGTCGACAAGCTGGATCTAGGCAGCAGAGCTCGGTCACTGAGCATGCAGGGCGGGAGCTTTCTAGAAGGCACCCAGCCATTACGGGGGGGGGGGGTTCTGTGGGATCAGGAAATACTCCTGTGAAGGACATGGCTGTCTAGAGAGGCTGGGGCTGGCACAGTGTGGCTTTGTGAATTCTTAAGCTAAGATTTGTGCCGTCACCATTGCCACCTTACCATAGGACACACCAGCTGAATCAGCTGTACTACCATTCCTTCAACTGGGCTGTCCTGTACTGTCATATCTTGTCCAAATGTCCATATGACAGGAGTGTCCATATCCACAAGACCAGGGGTCGAGCCCTTCTTCCCTAAGGCAAACTGTTAGTTAGGGCTTCATTGCTGTGAAGAGACACCATGATCAAGGCAGCTCTTAGAAGAGACAACATTTAACTGGGGCTGGCTTGCAGGTTCAGTCCATTATCATCACGGCAGGAATATGGCAGCATCCAGGCAGACATGGTACTGGAGGAGCTGAGAGTTCTACACCTTTATCCGAAGGAAGCCAGGAGCAGACTGTCTTCCAGGCAGCTAGTCTTAAAGCCCACCTTCACATTGACACTTCCTCAGACAAGGCCACACCTCCTAATGGGACCACTCCCTGGGCCAAGCGTATTTCAACACCACAGGAAACCTCCTGTGATGGCAGAAGAGCCAGGGTGTGGTGGTGCAGGAGCAGGAGCCCCGACATGTGGACATGTGGTCAGGAGCCGCAGCCCTTCCTGCTTTCTTTTCCCTGTGACTTAGCCCTCCTGATGGTAGACAGGCTGAGGTGGGCACTAGGACAGGGCCTACCTGCCAGGGAGCCGGGGTCACGAGGGCCTTCTGGAACCTAGGGGTGCCTTTTGTCCACGAAGCTTATAAGGTCCAGTCAGAAGCGGCCCTTCATGGTGAGTTGCCTGAAGCCAGTGCCAGGATTGATGTGGCGGGAACTGGCTCTGTACGCTGCTGTGAGCCATTTCCTGTTTGCAGTCTTTGGGATGAACCCACTAGGCATGCTCTTCCCATGAAGGGCACACCTTTTGTATGTGTGTGTTTGGTTTCTCTGTGTAGGGTCCCCCACCCCCCACCCCCGACTGTCCTGGAACTCAATCCGTAGACCAGGCTGGCCTCAATTCAGCAATCCACCTGCCTCTGCCTCCCAAATGCTGAATTAAAGGCGTGCGACACCAGGGCCTGACAACCTTTTGGGTTTTTGATTCAGGATCTTACCATGTAGTCCAGGCTGGCTGTCCTCCTGCCTCAGCCTCTCACGTTTTGGGTGCCAGGCAGCTGTTGTTGGCTGCTGTTGAGTGTAACGGGTCATATCTCCTCTTGTCTGCAGTGGAAGGGCACTACACAGCCCATGAAGCTGAATACTCGGCCGTCCAATGGACTCCTGCGCCACATCCTGCAACAGGTGTACAACCACTCTGTCACTGACCCGGAGAAGCTTAACAACTACGAGCCCTTCTCCCCTGAAGTGTACGGCGAGACCTCCTTTGACCTGGTGGCCCAGATGATTGATGAGATCAAGATGACTGAAGATGACCTGTTTGTAGACCTGGGCAGTGGTGAGTCTTTGCAGCGTGGTCTTTGAGGCTGCACATGAGTCCTCGAGCGGTCTTTTCACAGAGGACACTGGCTGAGCGAGACTCCTGGCAGCACCAGTGCTCCCTGCTCAGCCTTCTCCCCAGAGCCCTCCGCCCTGCTGGCTCCCTTCCCCCTTACTCCAGCTCGTGACCTAGTGGCTCTGGGTTGTGGCTGCTTGACCAGAATCATTTAGGCTTCTGGTCGCGGAATGGTCTGTGCAGCCTCACACTTGGGTCAGACACTAACACATGTGCAGACAGACAGACAGACGGTCACACACACAGCAGCAGTGTTGCTGGGTCGCCTGCATGGTTGTGGTTCTGATGATGTTCACTTTTCTTGGGGCACGTCTTAGGGTTTATTTGCTTTGATGAACTCCCATGACCAAAAGCAAGCTGAGGAGGAAAGGGTTTCTTGGTCAGATCAGAGTCCATCACTGAAGGAAGTCAGGACAGGAACTCACACAGGGCAGGACCTGGAGCCAGGAGCTGATGCAGAGGCCATGGAGGGTGCTGCATACTGGCTTGCTCCCTCTGGCCTTCTCAGTCAGCTTTCTGTCTTTATTCCTCCCTCCTACCCTCCCTTGGTTTTTCAAGACAGGTTTTTTCTGTGAAGCCTTGGCTGTCCTGGAACTGTTTGTAGACCAGACTGGGTTCAAACTCAGAGATTCGTCTGTCTCTGCCTCTGATTGCTGGGACTAAAGGTGTGTGCACAACCACACTGAGCCTGCGGCCTTCTTTTTTTGTTTTTGTTTGTTTTTTTGTTTTGTTTTGTTTTTCGAGACAGGGTTTCTCTGTGTAGCCCTGGCTGTCCTGGAACTCACTCTGTAGACCAGGCTAGCCTCGAACTCAGAAATCCGCCTGCCTCTGCCTCCCAAGTGCTGGGATTAAAGGCATGTGCCACCACTGCAGGAGAGGCATTTTCTCAATTGAGGTTCTTTCCTTCCAGATAACTGTAGCTCATATCAAGTTGTCATAAGACTGTCAAGTACAGGCCACCTCTCCTGTAGCTGAGGAACAGGACTTGGAGGCTGGGAAGGACACAGTTGCTCTCGCAGCTCTTTTAGAAGCTGCTAATCCAGCTGGGAGGGCAGAGCGCCTTCCTGAGACACTGTGGCCTAGGGGCTCACTCTGTGACACTGTGGAGGGATCCTTCCAGCCAGGCCACGCATCTCCAAAGGTGCTCTGGGTCACATGTGGCGTTTCTACCCTGTGGTTCCTAGCAGCATGCTTGCTTTTTTTTTTTTTTTTTTTGGTTTTTCGAGACAAGCTGACTCGTGCTGATTCAGCTGAGGCCTGGCTGTTTCTGCTGGGTGGTGCCACTGCTGAAGATTCCTATTGGCTATCCTGACATTACTGAACTGGACTGCTGGTATAAAAGAACTATTTCTTTTTGCGGGGAGACGGTTTCAAGACAGGGTTTCTCTGTGTAGCCGGGGCCGTCCTGGAACTCGCTCTGTAGACCAGGCTGGCCTCGAACTCAGAAATCCGTCTGCCTCCCAAGTGCTGGGATTAAAGGCGTGCGGCACCACCACCTGGCTCGCAGCATGCTGTTTATTACTGAGAACACTGTGACCAGGACAGTCAGGTGGCCGCTGTGTGCTGCTTGAAATGTGGAATTGGCCTGCAAGTGTGTGTGTGTGTGTGTGTGTGTGTGTGTGTGTGTGTGTGTGCACATCTGGTGTGCAGCGTCTTCAGAGCCTTGACTCCTTGACCTAGCTTCTCTGGGGCCAGCAGGTACAGTCACCAGCTGTTAAGCCTCTGAAGTTTCCCATTCTTTAGCAGACATGTTAGGTCAGGGCGCCTACTGACCTCAGTGGTTCCAGCTGTCCAGGAGATGACTCAGGTGAAGAAGGCCTTTCTGAGGGCCTTCTCTATGTGGGAACAGCCAGGCCCTGCTAAACTGCTCAGGGCTGCAGCTTCACAGAAGGCATTGTGGGTACTGGAGTTAGTTGCACAGGCATCCTCTGTGCTTTCTTTCTGACACCAAGGGGCATTGTCATGTGGCTGAGGCCACTGGGTCTCTGTGGAGGTCACACAGACTCTGACATGTGTTTCTCTGGTTGAAGGTGTGGGGCAGGTTGTCCTTCAGGTCGCTGCGGCCACCAACTGCAAACATCACTACGGAGTAGAGAAAGCGGACATCCCAGCCAAGTACGCAGAGGTGAGCAGTCACATGTGCTTGCTGCTTAGGGCTTCTCTGTCTGGGCACATCTTCCAGGCCAAGAGCTTCTTCTGTGTTTGTGACATCCAGTACCTCTAAGAGAGCCTGTGTATTCCTGGTGGCCTCTGCAGGGTTGCAGGATGAGCACACTCTAGGCCTGGTCAGGGAATGGCTGCTTCCTCATGGACAGAGGATGAGCTTCTGTGAATTGTTGGGGCACATTCACAGGAACCCCCAACCCCTGTTCCACCCAGGATGGGGTTCACCCTTGCTGGGACTGGAGAGGATGATTTGGGGGGCTCTGTTGAAGGGTTGGGAACCTTGTGACTCTACCTTGGCCTCTCCTCTGGTTGTCCCCCCCCCCCCACGTGCTTGACAGCAGGGTCACTGTAGATAGGTCCCGTTATCTTGTACAGTACCATCTTGCAGAGCCTGTGGACCTTCCACTGCCTTGACCTCCCTGAGTTTATAACAGATGCCTTTTTCTCCCTCAGACCATGGACCGAGAGTTCAGGAAGTGGATGAAATGGTATGGAAAAAAGCATGCAGAATACACAGTGAGTGCCATCGCTCCATGCCCTCGGCCTCTGTCCCAGCCTGCCCCCCCCCCCCCCCCCCTCGGTTTTGTCTAGTGACCATATATGGTCTTCTGTGGCCATGGCCCTCTGTGACAGCGAGTGCAGTCTCTCTGGAGCTGTCTGTAGCCTCCACTGTGTCTTGTCTTTCCTGCTTCCCTGGCCTGGGCACCTATCCTTAGACATGATACCTATCTGTGCTGACCATGGACCGTGGCAGCAGACGCTTAGCTTGGTAGAGCTCAGACCCGCCAAATTGGTCAGGCACACCTCTGCTGAGCTGTGCCCCGGCGTGGCCTGTCCCATTAGGGTCTAAGGGCTAGGACCATTAGGCTGTGGAGATCTGGTCAGGCCGTCTTGTGGGCCAGCTAGGCAACCTGCAGTGACTCCTCTGCTTTCCTCTTTGTCTGTCACCCTCTTGGAGTGGGACTTAAAAGCTGCACAATGAGCCTAGCTCATTCCTGCTTCTTGGTGAAAGTCTCTCCTGTGGACATTTGTTAGGAGAGAGGCCTACTTGACACCTGTGTCTGGGACCCATGAAAAGTTCCCCAATGGGTTCAGATTCCCGAGACTTTGTGCCTTCTTTGTGAGTACGTTAACTGTGATGATGTCTTGTATATTTTCTGGGAGCCTGTTAGCTTCATACCTACAGAGGAGTTGTTGGTCAGTGCTACAGCTTTCTGGAAGACCCTGCAGGTCCTGAGTGGTTTCCCTGTCACTGTCCTCCTCAGCTTGTCATTGTTGGATGACCTGGCCGGAGTGGTTGAAGCCCACAGTGTAACTGGCAGCTGTTTGTCATGTTGGGTCCTCAGTGGGCCTAAGACTCATGCTGGTGGCCCTTCCTTGCCCTATGGCTGGGAGTAGGAGTAAGGGAAAGGATCGTTCTTGAGACCTTGGTGACTGTAATGCACAACCTGGCAGCAGGGCTAGAGTGACTGTGATCTACTTGTGTCCACTCTGGCTTCCCATGGAACCTTGAGTGACTGCCAGCCTTTTCCAGAAGGCTGTGTGGGCACCTGCCTGGCCTGTCAGCACCTGCCTGTCTTGCGCGGTGCTACGGCGTTGATGTTGGGTCTCCTTGGCACGCTGTGAGCCCTGCCTTTTGCTCCTCAGAAGCAGGCAGGAGAAAAACCAGGGGAGCCTAAAAATAGTCCAGAACTGTCTGATGCCAGAGACACTGCCACCCACCATGCAGTGTAGCGGCCAGCTTGTTTGCCCAGCTGCTCCCTCTAGTGGCTGAATCGAGCCTGGCTCTTCCCAGCTCATACCAGCTTCCAGGCAGGGCTTCTGGGCTCCCCTCTCCCATCCTCCAAGGGCCTTAATCCAGTTTCGGGCAGACATTGGGCCATACTCATCTCTGCTGATTGTACCTCTTCACATTTTTGGGCTTGGTGATGTCAGGTAACTTTCCATCACCCTCACAGCCCCAGTTGTACATTGTGTAAGTAGTTCTTCTCAGGGGTGCCTCTGGGCTGTGACTACTGACCCTGGGAGATAGTAGAGTAAGCCGTGACTCCTGGGATGCTGGGATGCTTGCCTAGGCATCCCCATCATAGGAGTTGAGTGTGCCAGAGTGTCCCAGGGGGAGCCGATTCTGCTGAGGCATTCCCATAGTGAGTGTGCCTGGGACTGTATCTGTGGTCTTAGCACCTCCCTTTTTGTGTGCTCCCAGCTGAGCGGATGGGTTCTTGAAGTGGCTGAATCTAGGTCCGGCATGACGACTTGGGTCTCACCCACTGTAAACTTTTCTGGCCTTTCCCAGGCTTCTGTGGGGCTTGTGTCATCCTTCCCCGTTTATTTCATAGATGCTGGCCTGCTGAGTGTGCCTCCCCTCCCCTCTTGCCTTTTCTGTGCTGGTAGCTATGTGCATGATATTTCTTGAGAAACATGTTTCACAGACAGGGAACCAACAGTGTCCAGCTTGGTGAACTCTTTAAGTTTTCCTGGGGTTACTTACAAGAGTGTGGGCAAGGGGTTATCTAGAGGATCAGAAATCACAGCTGGATCATCAAGGCCCTCCCCAGCATGGGTGATAGCTTCCAAAGCTGGGAACCTGGAGCACACTGCACAGCCTGCAGGCAGTGTGACAGGCTGCAGAGTGTCCTTGCCAGATGGCTCAGGTCTGAGCCTCTCCTTGGCAGCTCAGCATCTTGGCTAGTGTGACAGCGATATATGTTTGGGGAGAGAGGGCCCAGTGTCTGTTTAGTTTTAATGGTTTCTTGACTGAAGGGGCTTCCCTGCAGGTCCCTGCAGGACAGTGTGTGTCCCTGGCCAAATGGCCAGAATTTGAGAATCCCTGACCACAGATTAGCTGTCTCCCCAGGCTTCCTTGCCTGGCCTGCCAGGACAGCACTAGGATCGCAGGGGCCAGGGGGATGCTGGTTTCATACTTGACACAGCTACAGGGTGAGGTCTGTTCTGGACAGTGGGCTCCAGGGGATATAGAAGGCGGGCGTCAGATTCCTGGAGTGGACTCAGCCTGCTGCTAATCCCTATAGCTGTAGCTGCAGGACCCAGCAGCCAGCCACAGGCAAGGCCCACAAAGGAGCCAGGGAGACCATCAGGGCATGCACAACTCTCCCTGGAAGTCTCAAAACACACTGTAGGGTGTTGTCATCCAGAAACCCAAGGTGTAAGTCCGCACACAGTGTAGCTGTCCATCAGTTCAGGCTGCGCTGCAGGGATGGTATAGGGCCTTGGTTTCTGGCTCCAGTGGTTTAGATTAGAAGCCTCCTCCTGTTGGGGGTCCCAGAGGCCATATCCCCTAGGGCCCAGAGATTGCCCTGCATTTTGGGGACTTAAGCCCCCTTCCCTAGGCCTGGCTGTTGTGTACAACAAAGAAGAGTCAGAAGGTCATTGAGGGGTCAAGAGGTGGGCCTGGCCTGGGGATTTGCTCAGGGGCTGATCGAGGCCACAAGCTGTGCAGCTGCTCCTGGGCAGGTTCAGCCTTGTCCTAGCAGGGTAGGAGGTGGCTCTGAACCTGCACCTCTGTGGGTGCCCCATCACCTCCACTGTGGCCTTCTGCCATGACCCATGTGTGTGTGACATCCCTGTCTCCCCTCAGCTTGCGATATTCATAAATCCACTCGTGGTCAATAAATTTGCTTGTCTCAATGTCCCAAACTCTCCTGGAGTGAGTGCGTCAGAGCCTTACTCCTGTTTGTTGCCAAGTGTCCTCCCAGCACATGGACGGACTATGCTGTATGTGTCCATCTGTCCGTGGATGTCCCTGCCTTTTGGGTTTCATGTACCCTGCTACTGCTGTGACCTCTGTGTAGGGCAGACTGTTGTTTTCCTAGGGCTCATGCCCAGCACCTCAGCAGTGGTCTTCAGAATACAAATCCAGATTGTTTGGATCTCCTACTGTCCTGGCTCTGGACAGTTGGCGTAAAAGCTGTTTCCCTTCAACACACTTGGGCCTGAAGGAGGTGGAATGACAGACATCAGTGCTGACAGACACAGACAGCAGGCCCACTGCTGGGGGCAGACCACAGTTTTGGGGTCACTTGTGTGCCAAACATGTATTAACCCAAGATATACTGAGGCGACCTCATCATCTGCAGGCACAGCCCTGGTGGACAGTGACAAGGGACAAGGATGGTTGGTCCAGTTGCTTCTTAGCCACATAGATAGGTTTCGTGTTTGTAGGGTTGACAGCTGGTGTGTGTGAGGCTGTCCTTCTGGGGACATGCATGGTCCAGGGTGCTGAGGGAGTTAGCTGGCCAAGCACACAGCACCATAGCTCCTCACCTGGGCCCATGCCAGCCTCCTGTCTGTCCCTGAGTGGATGCTGGGATTAAGTCCCTGCTTTCTGTAGAGTTGTCCCCTGGCTGTCCACAGTCACCTTCCCATCCTGAGACCCAGCTCATTCCATGTCTCTCACAGCAGTTGCGGGAACTGGGTTTGAACCAAGCAAGCCTGTAAGTAAACATGTTCCTTTCTTCCTTAGCTGGAACGAGGTGACTTCCTCTCAGAGGAATGGAGGGAGCGGATCGCCAACACGAGGTACGGCCGGCTGTGGGCTGTGCTGCTGGCTGTGCTGGGACCTCTGACTTGTTCTCCAGATGTGGGTGGCTGCTGTGGAGGGTGGAGTGGGTCTGCTGCTTTAAGAGTGCCAGCCACTACTTGGTGTTGACCTGGCTGTGGCCCCTGTCCTACCCTCGTGTGTTTGGTCCTACATGGGGTGCAGTGGCCCCTGTGCTGGTCCCCTGTGCATCTGTGCTGTCTTTTCATGGGGTCAGTCTGTCAGGGTTCTGGGTGATGTGGGGCCTCACCCCTATGTTTTCTATTGGGGAGTAGTGCCTGCCTGTCACATTCATTGCACCTGCCTGCTTATCAGTGTTTCCCTTTGCTCATACCCTGTGTCTGCCCTGTCTTCTGTGGCAGTTCCGTCCCTGCACTCTGTTGTAGTGAGTGCTTCCAGGAGCGCTCTTTGTTTCAGAAGTGCCAATATTCAAAACAGGGTGGGCTGGATTTTTGGCCCAGGGCTTGCGGCCTCCTCTATGGGGCAGTTTGTGCCTTTCTCCTGCCCCTGCTTCTGCTTATTCTGCTCAGCCCAGGTGGGTGGGCAGGCGGGGGCAGCTCCTGGCAGGGACCGGCGGCAGGCTGTGTCCAGGCTGGGACTGCGATGCACAGCCTCGGTTTACTGAACTGGAACATTGTTTTGCAGTGTTATATTTGTGAATAACTTTGCCTTTGGTCCTGAGGTGGATCACCAGCTGAAGGAGCGATTCGCAAACATGAAGGAAGGTAACGCATCCACAGGCCTTGTACCGCCGCCCTCTCCAAGGGGTCACGCAGGCGCATCAGTCTTCCTGAGCGGTCCTCAGCAGCCCTGCCCCAGCTTTTGGGCTAGATGGCAAAAGTGGGGGCCTGGGGGCCAGAGGTACTTCTGCCCCAGCATATCCTTGTCCCAGGCAGTCAGCAGATGCTTGAAAGGCTAACCCAGCTCAGAAGCAAGTCTCCTGCGGCCCTATCTACACCAGGGCTCTTTGCTTGTGAGCTTATGATGTGTCTGTACTTGTTTGTGCCTGTTCATCTCTCATGCTGGACAGTTGGCTGTGACTGCTTCAGAATGAGGGCTACATATAGCACTCACTGCCCCTTGTGACAAGGAGGGCTGCTAGCCAGGGCTGTCTGCACTGCACGCTGCTGTCATGCCCCAGGGAGCAGGGTTGCCCACACTTTACAGCCTCTTAGCTGTCACAGATAAGCCACCCATCTGCTGTGGGCTCTGGCCTTAGCCTCCCCTAAGCTTTAGAATTAGTTACTTTGGGTGCTGATAATGGGCCCAGGGCCTTGTATGCTCAGCAGACACTACCCAGTGAGCTTCACCATGACTTCTTTCCCTTCTTCATCACTCGATTGGTTTGAGGTAGGGTCCTGCTAGGCAGGGCCTAGCTAAGACCCAGGCCAGCTGTGACTGGATCACAGCGCACACTACCACATGAGCTTCTGTCTTAATACTGCCTGTTGGGCTCAGGCCTGTGACTTTGTGAGTCTTTCAGTCCCTGTCTACTACCTGTTTTCTAAGAACCAGTAAGCCCAGTTGTCAGGGGGACCAGGTTCTGATGACACAGCCCCTTTCCTGCCCGCAGAGAGACATGTTCCCTGCTGCTGACTGCTGCTGTAGTGTTGCTGTTCCTGTGCGCTCTCTGTGCTGTATAAATACCATGACCAAACGCCGCCCACAGAGAAACGGGGTTTTGGTTTACACAACTAAGCCCAGCCCATCATCAAAGGGAATTGTGGCAGGAACTCCAAGTAGGAGCCATGGTGGAGGACTCTTCCCAGCTCGAGGGCCTGCTCAGCCACTCTTCTGACACTGCTCGGGACCCTTGCGGGGCCCCTCCCATACCAATCAAGAGGGGGCCTCCCACACCAATCCAGAAAGTGCCTCAGGCACTTGCCTACAGGCCAGTCTGATGGTGGCATTTTCTCAGTTGAGGTTCCCTCTCCCGAGATGGCCCTAGTTTGTGTCAAGTTGACAAAAACTATTCAGCACAAATGCCTACTTGTGAGTGTTTCTGGGTCACTGCTTAGGGAAGCCCATGGGGTGTGGGCCACACTGGCCTCTGTCCTTGCTGCCTGACCTGTTAGTTATTGCTGTTTTCCCACATAATGGAAACAGGAACCTGACCTTGCTCTGGCCTGGTTGGGCCCTTTTACTGGTGGACAGGACTCAGAAAGCAGGACTTGGTTTGAGTGGGGCTAGAGGCCAGTGCACTAACATAATCAACTTGGTGTATGTATACACATGTGTGTGTGTGTGTTGAGAAAGTAGTCCAGGCTATCCCAGAAGAGTGTTGCCTCAGCTTCCTGGAACACTGCTGGGATGCCAGGTAGTCTTTTGAATGTCTCTGGGTGTAGAGCTTAGGCCTGTTCTAGCAACCAGAAGGCTAAGGCAGGAGGTTTAGAACTCCTGAGCTGGCCTGCACTACAGAAGACGTTCAGAGCCAGCCTGGGCTTCGTGCTGCTCTGTCTCAGTCTCCCTCTTCTCTGTACTGCTTTCTTATATATAGAAAAGAATCTGCTGTGGTCATGAAAGCAGGCTTGGGTTTGTTGTTTTGAGATAGGGCCTCCTATATAGCCCTGATAGTGATAGAACTCTATGTGGACCAGGGTAGACTACTCTTGGAGATCTGCCCACCTCTGCCTCATGCTAGGAATAAAGGCATGCACCTTCACACCTAAACTACCTGTGTGTGGCTGTCACAGGTTTGAATGTAATTAAACTCTTTGTGGTTTGATGTGGCTCTTTTTGCCTCTCGGGACTCATTTCTGATCCTGTCCCCTGCCCTGGCTTCTGTCACATCCCCAGCCTCGAGGACTGTAGTAGCCAATCCTATTCTCAGCCCTGTTTTTAAAAACAGGGATATTGCTACTTAGCCTAGTTTTAGTTTCAGACTCTTCCAATTCCCCACTCTTAGCTGCCAGAATACTGGGAAAACCACTGAGCTGCCATGCCTCTAGGTCTCTTCCCGGTGGGATTTAAGGGGGAACTGCTGCAAGGCAGGCCCATTGGCCCAGCTCCTCGTCCTGGTAACATGTGGCTCACAGCAATCTCCTCCTGTGCCCTATGGTGCCTGGGTGCCACCATGACCCTGTTATCTGGGTACTCAGTTGCTACCATGGTGCAGGGGCCAGTGAGCTTGAGTGGGGTTCCGTAAGAACTAGCATCTCCTAGGCTGGCACTCCTTACTTCTCCTCCAACCCACGCCTGAGTTTGAGGTCTGCAGTTGTGTGTATGAGTTGGGGGGCGGGGGAGTTTACACGTTACAGTGACAGCCTTCTGTGTTGCAGGCGGCAGAATCGTATCCTCCAAGCCCTTTGCCCCTCTGAACTTCAGGATCAACAGCAGGAACCTGAGTGGTAAGCTCTGGACCCAGGGTTGCACAGGGTATCCAGCTTCCTTGGCCCAGTCAGACTGGGCTCTGCCTTGCAAGGAGGGTGCTCAGCTCACTGCTCCCCAGCCTCTGACCACTGCACACCACACATGTACCCTTGTGTAATGTGTTTCTTCAAGAGGAGGTGGTACTCCACGGAAGGCCTTAGGGTGCGGAGTCCTGCAGCAGGAGCCAGCCTTCCTGTGGGCCTCCCTGGATTAGGCGACCGGCTGGCCCAGCTCAGGGTCTGCTTGCTTGCTTTGACTCGCTAGTCTCCCTTTGATTCTGGTTAATCCCGAAGCCTGACTCCATCGGTGTGGGTTTGCCACCTTTCTCCTGAAGGGCCCTAGGTCATTCTCTTGTCTCAGTGGTGGGCAGGCTTTGGGGGTGCTGCTGCACAGGCTGCTTGTGGGGTGTGAGCAGCAGGTCAGGGGCTCGGCCTCCTCCTGCTGCTGCTGCCGTCCTGACCTGACGCTCTTCCCGTAGACATTGGCACCATCATGCGTGTGGTGGAGCTGTCGCCCCTGAAGGGCTCTGTGTCATGGACTGGCAAGCCTGTCTCCTACTACCTGCACACCATTGACCGCACCATAGTGAGTCCCCACTTGACACCCTCCACAGGGGGAGAGAATCACAGGCCACAGCCTCTGGCAGCTCTGGATCTTGGTCCTTGGTTTTCCTGACGAATAGATGCCATGGCAGTTTCAGCCTTGTTACCCAAAGGACTTGGGTCTCTGTTACCCACTCCCAACTTGTTCCCCCCAGCTTGCCCCAAGTGTGTGCTGGCCTGTCCCTCATGGCCTCCCCTCGTTGCCAGCGCTCTTTTGTGTGCAAGCCTGAGTGCTGCTCTCTTGTGTCCTGGTGGCCTCTGGGCTCCTAGAGGCAGCATGCTGACAGTTGTGCGTTCTGTCCCCTGTCCTCCTCGGGTCAGTGCTGGGACCTGGCAGCTGACAGCCAGCAGCAGCTTTGACCTGCTCTTCTTGCTGTGGGGAAAGAGGGAGAGCATGCAAGGCTCCTCAGCTGAGGCACAAAGGTTCCCTGTGTTGCTAGTGGCATCATCACACATAGGTTTCAGTGTGGTAGCCAGCATCTCCCCTGGGAGGTCCTGGTCCTGGGTCCTTAGAAGCCCTGGGAGCCAAGGTTAGCTGCCTTGGTACACGAGCCGTGCCACCTTTGATGTCCACTGCTGTGTGGCAGCTCTGTGGGATGAAGCATCTCTTGGTAGTCATCCTGTATCTGTGCCTAGGGCCCACTTCTAACAGAGCGTTTTCTTTTTCTCTTTAGCTTGAAAACTATTTTTCTAGTCTGAAAAATCCAAAACTCAGGGTAAGTTTCCATCTCTTTTGACTCTGATCCTACACCAGAGTCATGGTGCCTAGTTGTGCATGCTCGTAACGTGTGTGCTCAGAGACCCCAGGGCCAGCCAGGGCACCTGAAGGCCCTAAGCTCTGTTAATGTGTTGGGTGTCCAGGATATTGTGAGTGACGGTCCTGCAGAGAGGCCAGGTGCCAGTACATTCTTTGTCACATAGTGTCGTGTGTCCCCAAGACAGGGGTTTGTACTAACAGTTGAGGGTACTTGTCTCTAGAACCCTGGAAGGCTGGCATTGTGCTCCATGGCAGGCACTCCTCTATCCACATCTGCTGGGCATGGCCTGTCTGTCCCAGGGACACATAGAGGGTGGGCTCTTGTACCCTTCCCTGAGGAGACGTAAACAAAGATCTGTTCACTGCACATGGGCAGTAAGAGCAGAGCCTAGCACTCTACCAACTGTTGCTGGTGAAGTGCTGAGCTGGTGACAGTACTAGAGTGTAGGCACTTGCTGCAGTTACACCACCACCAAGGAGTGCGTCCCAGCAGCCTAGAGCTCAGAAACAGTTGTATGTCCTCAGCAAGGGTCTCAGCCTCTCGGCCAATTCCACAAGGGCATGTGGGGGTGCACCCCATGAAGGTCAGAACAGCTTGGTTCAAGTCAGCAGTGGCTGTGTTGTGCCAAGAGGACATAGGCCTTTAATGTGTGTTTTGGCTTTGCCTAGCTCTTTGGGGACCATATCTGTCCTGCTGAGGGGTGCGGTCGGGTTGGCTGGCATGTCCTATGTGCTTTCATTGTTGTGTGGTCCTGCAGCTGTCAGTGCAAGGGCAGTCTTGGGCCCTAACACCATGACAGGCTCATGTCTTTCCCACAGAGGGGCTGTGGGGCCCAAGTCAGGCGCTGGAACTCTCCCAAGTGTCTTGTGTGTGTGGCTACATCATTCGTGCTGGAGCAGAGTTGGGTCCTCCAGCATTCTGGACACTTACCCAGCATGTCCTTTCAGGAGGAGCAGGAGGCAGCAAGGCGCAGGCAGCAGCGAGAGAACAAGAGCAATGCGACCACGCCCACCAAAGTCCCTGAGAGCAAGGCAGCTGCCACTGAGGCCCCTGTGGTGAGATAGACGCCCTGTTTGGCCCAGGGCTACTAGAAGGCGGGGGTGCCCCAAGCTGTGGCCTTGTGAGCTCTCCTACTGTGGCCCTTCACTGCCTGCCTGTGTCCTCCAGGATTCTGGTGCTGAGGAAGAAAAATCAGGTGTGGCCACTGTCAAAAAGCCATCTCCCTCCAAAGCCCGGAAGAAGAAACTGAACAAGAAAGGGAGAAAGATGGCTGGCCGGAAGCGTGGGCGGCCCAAGAAAATGAGTGCTGCCAGTGCCGAGCGCAAGTCCAAGAAGAGCCAAAGTGCACTGGACCTCCTGCACTCCCCACCCCCAGCCCCACCCTCAGCCTCACCCCAGGGTAAGCCTCTTTGTCTTCTGCATGGCAGAGTGGGTGTGAGTCCGCATTCACATGACTGTGGGACTCTGCCATGTGCCAGGCCTGCAGCTACAAACCGGGAGGGGCTCAGTGTGGATTCAGACCCCATAGCTGTTTCAAACCCCAGATTTGACAGTTTGTTGCCCACAGTGGTGTGGGCCTATGGTTGGTAGCTGACGGCCTCCTCTCTCCTGCAGATGCCTACAGGGCACCTCACAGCCCGTTCTACCAGCTACCTCCGAGCACGCAGCCGCACTCACCCAGCCCACTGCTAGTGGCCCCTACTCCACCTGCACTGCAGAAGCTTTTAGGTGGGTCGTAGCTCTGAAGCACTTCTGTAGGGTCAGTGCAAGTGGTGGGGCCCCAGTCGAAACCACTTGCTTCATGGCCTGGCTTATGTTGGACCCTGTGAGTAGCTGAGTTTGACTCACCCCAGGGATCCTAGACCATATCTGGGGACCTGTGTGACCCATCAGTACTTGGGGAGCTCTGTGGAGAACAACTCGCTGCACAGAGAAGGCTGGCAAGTCCCTTACTTGACGGAGAGATCTGCTCTAGCGATTTAGGGCTGCCCATTCTGCCAGGAGGGAACCTCCCACATTGTGAGAAAAGCTGAAATTGCAGCAGGGTGGTCCTGCAGCAGGCCGAGGCCCAATAGCCTCCCTGTATTTGCTGGCCACCTCTCCTGCATCAGCCCTGCTTTACATGCTGTGCTGTGTGCCTCCAGAGTCCTTCAGAATCCAGTACCTGCAGTTCCTGGCGTACACCAAGACCCCACAGTACAAGGCTAACCTGCAGCAGCTTCTGGACCAGGAGAAGGTGTGAAGGCTCTGCCTTACTGTCTGCGCTCAGCTTAGGGCTGCCTGGGGGCTCTGTGCTCACCTTCTCCTGTCCTCCCTTGCAGGAGAAGAACACACAGCTGCTGGGTACAGCCCAGCAGCTCTTCGGCCATTGCCAGGCCCAAAAGGAAGAGATCCGCAGGCTGTTCCAGCAGAAGCTGGATGAGGTGACTTGAGGCTGCCTGTCCACGTCAGCAGATACCTGACCCAGGGTTTGGCGGGGTGACCAAAGATAGTTTCCCTTGCCTTTACTGAAGCACTGCCATGGAATGATCTTGGCTATGTTCGGGTCAGAACTGTAGGGTGTCTTGTTGTCCCCTTTGTTCCCGTGAACTGGGACTCTACTCACCATGCTCTGTCCTCTCATCCCCAGTTGGGCGTGAAGGCGCTGACCTACAATGACCTGATTCAGGCCCAGAAGGAAATCTCTGCCCACAACCAGCAGCTGCGGGAGCAGTCAGAACAGCTGGAGAAGGACAACAGCGAGCTTCGGAGCCAGAGCCTGCAGCTGGTGTGTGCAGGGGGCCGGCCACTGCTGGGTGCGCACGCTTGCGCAGGCGGGGTGGAGGACTGCCCACTCGCTGGCCCAGAGGTGTGCTCTGGCGCCACGCTTGGATCTGCTCCTCCATGCTCTTGCTGGATTCTGCAAGGATCAAGTCAGGGCCTCTTCCCTCTTGTCAGGGTCCTGTCCTGTCCTGTCCTGTCACACTGCCTTTATTCCATTGCTTGTGTGTGGGTGGGTTGTCGGTGCTATGTGCTATGACTGTAGGAGGGGGATCCGTTGCACTGCCCAGAGAGCCTGGCCCTCGCTCCCTTTGGCTACTGAGACTTCCTGTCCATGTACTCCCAGCTCAGGGCCCGGTGCGAGGAGCTGAGGCTTGACTGGTCCACACTGTCCCTGGAGAACCTGCGGAAAGAGAAGCAGGCCCTGCGGAGCCAGATCTCAGAGAAGCAACGGCACTGCCTGGAGCTGCAGGTGGGGTGTCAGGGTGACGTATCAGACCCCATCTTCACCGTCAGAAGGGCCTCTGTGATGGTGGCCGGCAGGGGTGGGCATGCCCTTGGGCTGCCCTGTGACCGCGCTCCCGCCCTGTAGATCAGCATCGTGGAGCTGGAGAAGACCCAGCGCCAGCAGGAGCTCCTGCAGTTGAAGTCCTGTGTACCGCCCGATGACGCTCTGTCCCTGCATCTTCGTGGCAAGGGTGCCCTGGGCCGCGAGCTGGAAGCTGATGGTGGGCGCTTGCGCCTTGAGCTGGACTGTGCCAAGATCTCCCTGCCACACCTCAGCAGCATGAGCCCTGAGCTGTCCATGAACGGCCATGCTGCCAGCTACGAGCTCTGCAATGCAGCTAGTCGGCCCTCATCTAAGCAGAACACCCCCCAGTACCTGGCCTCCCCCTTGGACCAGGAGGTGGTACCCTGCACCCCTAGCCACAGCGGCCGGCCTCGGCTAGAGAAGCTGTCTGGCCTGGCTTTGCCTGACTACACTCGGCTGTCACCTGCCAAGATTGTGTTGAGGCGGCACCTGAGCCAGGACCACACTGGGGCTAGCAAAGCGGTTACCAGTGAGCCACACCCTCGGTGAGGACACGGGCACATAGTGGCTCTGCCCCCCACCCACTCTGCTGTGTGCCTGCTGGGCATGAGCAGAGTGACCGGCCTTTCCTTGCAGGCCAGAGCAGGCCAAGGAGAGCAGCCTTCCCTTCCAGAGCCCCGGCTTGTCCAGCAGCCTGAAGCTCAGCCCCCAGGACCCGCCGCTGGCCTCCCCAGCCACCTCGCCCCTCATCTCCGAGAAGGGCAGTGAGAAGGTAAGGGCTGCCCGTGTGAGGAGTGGACGAGGCTCCTGCAGTGCCCATGGGCCTCCTCGTCTGTAGGGTGCATGGAGCTTAGTTAGGAGACCTGGGGAGGAGATGGGCCTGGCACCCCTAGGCTCCGTGGTGCGGTTGCATTGGAGTGAGCCTCCCTCGGGTTTCCTAGGCACACTCGGATGCTTACATGGTAGAGCAGGGTTTGGTTAGTCGGTTGGGGGATCTGTAGTGGGACAGAGGGCGTGGGGTCTCCACTCTATTTACAGAGGTGGAATGAAGTTTGGGAGGAAGGGGCAGGGTCCTTGTGAGGCCTGGCAGTCCGAAGTGACAACCGGGAAGAAGAACCTGGGGAGTGTGCACTGTCCTCAACTCCACGCAAGGACCTTGCAGGAGCTACCAGCCCATGACACGAGGATACAGCTCCTCTTGGGGGGTTGGGGGGATGGTCTGTGGCTGAGCTCTCATCCGGGCCTGGGTGACATGTGGCCATCTATTGGCAGGGTGTGAAGGAGCGTGGCTACAGCAGCCATGGGGAGACCATCACCAGCCTGCCTGTTAGCATTCCGCTCAGCACGGTACAGCCCAACAAGCTGCCCGTCAGCATCCCACTGGCCAGCGTGGTGCTGCCCAGCCGTGCCGAGAGGGCGGTGAGTTGCCAGACCAGGTGGTGGTGGTGATGGTGGTGGCTGTGGTTGGCTTCAGGAGCAGTCTTGCTCTTTATGACTGTCGGATGCTGTTGAGATTTATCCCAGGAAGTGCTGAGGGCCATGTCCACAGCTAATTCCGCTGCCATGTAGTTAGGTCCTGGGTGTGTTTTGTAAGCAGAAGCAGGGAAGAAATAGAAAAGTTCTCTTAAGAGGGTTTTAGCCACTCAAGCAACAGCGGCAGGCGTGACCCAGACTGCTGTCTCTGATAGCTGAATGAGTCAGGAATGAGTGGCCTGTTGTTCCCAGAGGCTGGGCTGAGCAGACACTGTGGCCTGCCTTCCAATTTGCTCTACCTGAGGCAGTGTTTTGTCTGTCCCAGGTCAGAGTGAACTGAACATATAGTTGTATCTGCCCTCGGTTTGGGACCATCTTATCCCTGGCCCACTCCTTGTTAACGTGGCCTTTCGGCTTGGACTCCTGAGCTGAGCACAGCTCTGTCCTCTGTGGCCTCCCCTGCCCTCAACCCTTCTGCCCCATTGACTTCTGTTGGGCCTGCTGCGCTCACCCCTGCGCTTGCCCCTGTGCTCACCAGGTGGGTTCTCTCTTGCAGAGGAGCACCCCCAGCCCTGTGCCACAGCCCCGGGACTCCTCATCCACACTTGAAAAGCAGATTGGTGCAGGGGGTGCTGCAGCAGGAAGCAGGAACATCGGTGTGGCGCCCACAGGTGACCTTTGCACTTGGGGCTTCTCCCGGCTAGCTGCCATGGTCCCTGGGGAGGAGATGCCATTGTGAGACCACACAACAGGTAGCCCTGAGGCTCTGAGCCCAGGGTACTGTTTGGGGAGAGTGGAGGACTAGTATATGGCTGTCCTTTGCTGACTTGTTTTGGGCTAGGACAGGACAGGCACCTTTTCCTGAGGGATGCTTAAAGTCTGGACCATTTCCTTAAAGCTGTCCTGTGCTGGGGTTAGCTGGTCCTTGAAGGTTCAGATGCTCACAGCAGGGGCAGCACTCTGTGTGCCCTGGTGTTTGTAGGTGACTGAAGTCAGGAGGCTGCCTCCTCTTTTGAGTCTGGCCCACCCACACCGCTGGTGCTCTGAGGCCAGCCTCAGAGTCCTGTAGCCTCCAGCTCTTTTTCTAGAGAGCAGTTCCTGACCTTAGGCTATCCCTCCCAGGATGCGGTGTCCTTATCACCCTCACCAGTATGCTTGGCTTTCTTGCCTTCCTTAAGAAACTGATTGTTGGCCGGGCGGTGGTGGCACACACCTTTAATCCCAGCACTTGGAAGGCAGAGGCAGGCGGATTTCTGAGTTTGAGGCCAGCCTGGTCTACAGAGTGAGTTCCAGGACAGCCAGGGCTGCACAGAGAAACCCTGTCTCAGAAAAACCAAAAAAAAAAAACATTTAAAGAAACTGATATCTTCATTGATAGGTTTCTATACTGGTTCGGTGGCCATCAGTGGGGCCCTGGCCAGCAGCCCAGCACCTTTGGCCTCTGGAATGGAATCTGCTGTTTTTGATGAGTCCTCCGGCCCCAGCAGCCTCTTTGCCACCATGGGGTCTCGCAGCACACCACCACAACACCCACCTATCCTGTCACAGTCCCGCAACTCGGGCCCTGCCTCTCCTGCCCACCAGCTCACAGCCAGTCCCCGCCTGAGTGTGACCACCCAGGGCTCGCTGCCAGACGCCAGCAAAGGGGATCTGCCTTCTGATCCTGCCTTCTCAGACCCAGAGAGCGAAGCTAAGAGGAGGATTGTGTTCAGCATTTCAGCTGGTGCCAGCTCAAAGCAGTCACCTTCCACCAGGCACAGCCCCTTGACCTCTGGCACCCGTGGGGACTGTGTGCAGAGCCACAGTCAGGACAGTCGTAAACGCAGCAGAAGGAAGCGCGCGTCCGCTGGGACACCTAGCCTCAGCACAGGGGTGTCCCCCAAGCGCCGGGCTCTGCCGACTGTTGCTGGCCTCTTTACACAGTCCTCGGGGTCTCCTCTTAATCTCAACTCCATGGTAAGTGCAGGACCTGTAGGGCAGGGTGGGCAAGTGCCACTCCTGTGGGTCGTCCAGTGGGACAGGTCCACAGGCAGAGCAGCTAGGGCGGGTGGCAGGGACAGTGGCTGCTGTGCTGGCTCTCTCCTCTCCCTACTTGTACTTTCACATGAGCATGTGGCTCATCTGCCCTCCCCTGACCCCACAGGTCAGCAACATCAATCAGCCCCTGGAGATCACAGCCATCTCATCCCCCGAGAGCTCCCTGAAGAGCTCCCCCACCCCCTACCAGGACCATGACCAGCCTCCGGTGCTCAGGAAGGAGCGGCCCTTGGGACCAACTAATGGGGCCCACTACTCACCACTGACCTCAGATGAGGAGCCAGGCTCTGAGGATGAGCCCAGCAGTGCCCGGTGAGCAGGAAGTTGGCAGCTCTGCAGGGTGACAGTCTTGGACCAGGCGCTGGCTCTGTCGCCAGCTTTTCCATCCTGACCTCCATGGTCCGGGTAGTATTCTTACTGGGCGTTACCTTTGCTTTTCTTGGTGAATGGGGGATGGGGCCCTGCACCTCTGTGAGGCCCCCTGGGTACTCTGCCTGTGCCTGAGCCAGTATATGCTCCCCTCTCCCCACCTACACTGTGCTGCCGTGCAGTCAGTTGAGCATTGATGAGGTCCCGTCTGCCCACATTTTGAATGTCATAATGGAGTTCCTACTGCATATGTGAATTTTGGTCATGCTTTGACTTTGACACCAAGGCCAAGATTGCCACCCAGTGTCATATTCCCAGGGGTCTGACATTCATACTGATTCACCAAGTACGCCATTGTAGACCACTGTGCTGCCTGCCTTTGAGCTGTGCCTCTGTTGCATTAAGCTCCACGTTCGGCAGGGCTTGGGACAGCAAGCTCTTACATGCCTGAGATTCACAGTTGTCCCCATGTCCCTTGGTCATGTGCCACAGCTCAGCTGGACCTTCTGGGGTCCTCACCACAGCAACCCATGCACAGACAGACCTTAGTACTATTAGCTGCCCAGACTTACTCTGGCTTTGTTCAGGAGTCATGTGTGCCCTGCGGGCCTTTGGACCCTCCATTTCCTGAGAGTCCTCACATCCTCTGGCACACAGACTCAACTAAATGACCATTTTCTTTGCACAGAATTGAGAGAAAAATTGCAACAATCTCTTTAGAAAGCAAATCTCCCCCGAAGACACTGGAAAATGGTAAGTTTTCTGCCCTCTGCCTGGAGCCTGAAGGTCGGGGGTGGGGGGAGGAGTCCAGCCCAGGACTGCATCTGTTACATGGATATAGTTGAGAGGGTAGGACCAGAGGACGTCATGTTCTCAGCAGCAGAAGTCTAATATTGCATGTGCCTCTTAGAGCTCCTGGCCTCTCTCAGCATCCCTGCATGTCAGCCCTGTGGGGGGCACAGCCTCCTCCTTCAGCAGGGAAGCAGCAGGCCCCAGGCTCTGCTCACGGCCACTGACTTCTCCCGTCAGGTGGCAGCTTGGTGGGAAGGAAGTCAGTCCCCTCGAGCGAGCCTGTCAACAGCAGCAAATGGAAGTCCACCTTCTCACCCATCTCTGACCTGGGCTTGGTCAAGGCCGTGGACAGTCCGCTGCAGGCTGGTTCTGCCCTGAGCCACAGCCCCCTGTTCTCTTTCCGGCCGTCCCTGGAGGAGCCTGCTGCTGAGGCCAAGCTCCCCACCCACCCAAGGAAAAGCTTTGCTGGCTCTCTGGGTGCAGCTGAGGGCCCAAGCCCTGGCACCAACCCTCCCAATGGCCTGGCCTTCAGCGGAGGCCTTGCCGCAGACCTCGGTTTACACAGCTTCAACGACGGTGCTTCCCTCCCCCACAAGGGCTCCGACGTGACTGGCCTGAGTGCTTCCCTCAGCTTCCCATCCCAGAGGGGCAAGGACGGTGCCACCGAGGCCAACCCCTTCCTCAGCAGGCGGCAGCCAGAGGGCCTGGGTGGCCTGAAGGGTGAGGGCAGTACAAGCAAGGAGTCAGGAGAGAGTCTGCCCCTGTGCGGGCCCTCGGACAAGGCCTCACTGCCACACGGCAGCAGGGCCAGCAAAGGCCGAGACCGAGAGCTGGACTTCAAGGGCGGCCACAACCTCTTCATCTCGGCTGCAGCCGTGCCTCCAGGTGGCCTCCTTGGTGGCCCTGGTCTTGTAACTGTGGCTTCCTCTGCGGGCAGTGCGACACCCGCTGCCCAGGCTCCCCGGCCTTTCCTGAGCACCTTTGCCCCTGGGCCCCAGTTTACTCTGGGCCCCATGTCCCTCCAGGCCAGCCTGGGTTCTGTGGCCGGCTCCTCTGTGCTGCAGTCCTTGTTCAGCACTGTGCCGGCTGCTGCAGGCCTGGTGCACGTGTCCTCTACTGCGACCCGACTGACCAACTCACACACCATGGGCAGCTTCTCCTCTGGGGTGGCCGGCGGAGCCGTTGGAGGTAGGCAAGGAAGGGCCAACTTCTGAGGACTTGTGGCCCCGTCCAGGAGCTCAGTCCCTCACCAGCCACTTAGAGGCTCCTTCCGAGCTCGAGAGGGATCAGGCCTCTCATCCGTCCGTGCAAGCTCTTGGCAGCCCAGCCGGCATGAGGAGGAGGAGGAGACTGCTGGCTAGCCTCATAACACATGCCTCTTGTTTTCAGAAGACCACGGTGCACTTAACTAGGGCAGTCCTTTCTTCTGGGGCCTCCCCTGGTTGAGGTGACCACCCACATGCCTCATGGCTGGTCCGTGGAAGTGGGCCTGGTGCGAAATGAGTCCAGCAGGGCCTGCTCGGACTGCTCAGACGCAGGGCGGAGCGGAGCCTGGGCCACGGGCCAGGCGTGGTGCGGTGCTGGCTGGGCAGGGGCGGGCAGGTGGGCCCGAGGGGCAGGGCCTCGGCCTGGCAGGTAAGTGTCCCACACTGAGCCCGCTGCTTGCTGCTTGTGCCTGCGCTTGGACCGGAGTCACGCTGTCCTCTGCTTCTCCCTGCTGGCGGCTGAGCTCCTCTTGCTGCGGACCGTGCCGCCTGTTGAAGCTGCTTTTTCTCTCCTGTTCACAGGTGTCTTTACCCACGCGGTGCCCTCCGCCTCCGCTCACCCGTTTGGAGCTGGTGTCGGCAGCGGGGCTGTGTGTAGCAGTGCCACGCTGGGCCTGAGCCCGCTGCAGGCGGCGGCCAGCACCTCGGCTTCTTCCTTTCAGGCCGCGGCTTCGGTCGAGACTCGGCCGCCCCCTCCACCTCCCCTACTTCCTCCTCAGCATCTCGGGCGGCCCCCTGCGGGGCCACCCGTCCTCCACGCACCCCCCCCTCCTAACGTCGCCTTGCCTCCTCCGCCTGCGCTGCTGGCTTCTAACCCTGAGCCAGTGCTTCTGCAGAGCCTGGCCTCCCTCCCGGCTAACAACGCTTTCTTACCCCCCTCCTCTGCCGCCTCTCTGCAGCCTGCTAATGCCTCTCTATCTGTCAAGCTCGCCTCCCTCCCGCACAAGGTCTCCCGCCCCTCCTTCACGGTGCACCACCAGCCCCTGCCCCGGCTGGCCCTGGCGCAGGCCGCGCCCGCCGCCCCACAGGCCAGCACCTCGGGGCCATCTGCTGTGTGGGTTTCCCTTGGCATGCCGCCTCCTTATGCCGCGCACCTTTCGGGGGTTAAGCCTCGATAAAGACCTTGCTTAGCTAGCAGTTCATGTTCTGTAAGGTAAGGCTAGAGCCAAACCGTCCTTCCTCTTGCCCAGAAGACGGCTGGCAGGGCTCGGCAGATGCCTGGGGGCTTGAGTGCTAGAGATGGGGGGCTAAGGGAGGCAAGCAGGGCCACCACTGTACCAGAGCACCTACCTGCTCCTCAGCCCGCCCCTGAGAGGGCAGCGGAAGTGATGAGATTCAAGTGTGGCAGACCAGAGCTAAGGGCAGCCTGCAGTCACCATGAGGCTCCTGGCCCATAGCAGTTCATAATGATGGGGTTGCAGTTTTAGCTTCAGCCTCCCCCTTCAAGTTCAGCTATGCAGAAGAAAGAAGGGGTAGTCGGTGGGTGAGGTTCCAGGCTGTCCATAGGCAGCAAACAGCCTAGAGTAGCATGGCATCCTTGAGCATAGAGTTGGGGCTTGAGGGAGGTACAGGGAGGCCCACCTACCTCTCCTAAACAGAGGCTGTGAGACCCTGCCTGGCTGTCTGCCCTCTAAGTGAAGAAGAGCCATTGGGTGTGACTGTGTGGTGGCAGTAGCCTGGGCAGAGAGGGCAACGTGGCCATCACCATCTGTAGGTCCTAGGACTAGACCTCTCCAGCTGACCTACTCTGAGTACTCAGCGAGGCCGACCTGGAGGGGCTGGGCCCACCAGCGCCTGCCAGGAATGACCCCTATGCCCTTGCTGGGCAGCTCAGCTGAGGCAGGCGTCTTGAATGCACCTAACCTGTGCCCCTCCTCCCTACAGGTAATTAGGACTTCTACTACCTCAGCCACGACCTATGCAAGGACGGTGTGGACCAAGCCTGCTGCCTGCCAGGCCGGCGGAGCCGGACATGGAGCCACTGTGAATCGGCGGCACCGCAGGAGGTGCTGGACTGGTCCAGTTTGTACTGTCAATAGTTTTAGATAAAGTATTTATCGTTTTTTTTTTTTTTTTAAGTATAAGCAATCCTGACGTTATTCCATCAAAGTCGTCCAAGGCAACCACTTGAGACGCTGACGTGTCTGTGAGAGAGAATAATAGGAAGACGTGGCCTGCTGGGCTGGCCACCACGAGGACTCCTGACTCCGTCCCGGTGCTATCTCACCAGCAAGCCCATGCCTGCCCATCTCCACCTCTGCCCTGGGTGCTGCCCCAAACGTGGACTGTGGCCAGACAGTTCTGAGATGCACCCCCAACACTTTGTTCTGTCACCAAAGGCACACCTGGCATGCCCGATGGGGGCTGGCCTTCGGGTCCCCCTCCTCGGAACTTGCCTGCTGTCACTGTGAACACCCCACTGTTAACCCTGTGGCTTCAGGCGTGCCTTTGGAGTGGGTGCAGACTGGGCAGGGGCAGGACTGGGGGTTGCCAGCTGGGCCGATGAGTGGTGCTGACAGGTGAGGGCCACTACTGCAGGGCTCGGTGGCTCCTGTGACAAGTGCATTTACTTTGTATTTCTTTGCTTTTCTGGCTCGGGGCATGCTGGTCAGGTGATGTGGGGCTGGCCCAGTGTGGGTCCCCTGGCATCTGTGTATAAGAGAGTCACATGATCAGTGACAGTATTTTATAGAGATTTGATGGAGATTTATAAATTTCATAGACTTGACTGCATTTATTTTTAGATTGTATAATGCACAGTGAACTTTAAAGAAAAGGAAAGAAAAGTGAGGAGGAAAAATACTTTTATTTATTCAAATGCACAACAAAGAAAAGAATGGCACTGGCCAGGGACCCTGCAGGAGTGCGGCCCAGATGTGCTGGGCTGCCCGGGGCCTCTGGTCACTATGGGCATCGCCTGCCTGTGTCTAGGAGTTGCTTCCTGGCCCTCGGGATAGGTGCACTGGGAGTGACAGCAGAAGTCAGGGCTAGTTTGACTTTCTAAGATAGTCCTGACTGCCCTCAGTGTTGTTCACTTCCAGTCGTGGGTTGGTGGGCTATAAGGGGAGAGGCCATGCCCAACCCCAACCCACTTCCCAAAGCAGTTGTGAAGACGGTGCTGGTGTCCTCTCCCACCCCCTTCCCACCCTGCGATGGTGCTCACGTTCGGCAGGCCTGTTTCTGTGCACCACAGCTAACTAAGGTGCTGCAGAACAGGGTGGCCGAAACAAAAGCTAGCAAATCCCAGGCCTGGAACAAACCCGAGTGAACACTGTACACACCACCCGCCCGCCATGCTGGCAGCTGCTGCTCCAGTGGTCGCTGCCTCCACCTTACTTGAGTGTTAGGGGACAGACACTGCATGTTCATGGCCCAGTGGGCCACAGGTGCTCCGAGCACAGCTGCATGTCCTCTCCTGAGCCCATAAGAAACGGAAACCCATAGTAAACTGACCATGGTGCATGGTGGCCCCAGGCACCCTGTGACTGATGGTCCTGGTACAGGGTAAGGCTGCCTCAGTGGTCCTTGCCACTCCAACCCACGGTTGCTGCAGGGCTTTGAGCTCAGGAACTGATAGAAAGCCCTACAGACTGGGACCACCACTCTCACGCTAGCTAGCCCAGACGGGACCCACCTCCCAGTTCCCACCCTCAATCTACACAGCTTTTTTGACAGCCTGGCCTGTTTGTAACTTGACGCAGCATCGCTCTGTCTTGTACTGACCTCTGTACGTAACGGTGCATTGTTCTCTTCCCTTGGTTCCCCAAGGCATCTCACACATTGTTGCTGCCTCTAGACACAGTATAATAAATAAAGCCGTTTTCACTTGAGCCACTTCTCAGTGCCAGTCTTTCTTTGCCAGTTTGTTGCTGTCCAACCTGGACTAGAAGAGCAGCATGCCCATCTCTGGAGGCTCACAGTGACTCTTGAAGAATTCCCTCTTTGAGGCAGGCAGATTTCTGAGTTCGAGACCAGCCTGGTCTACCAAGTGAGTTCCAGGACAGCCAGAGCTACACAGACAAACCCTGTCTCGAAAAACCAAAACAAAGCCCTCTTTGGAAGGACCTAGTATCACTTAATCCAGCCCTGAGTCAAGACTCCTTGACAATGTTTAGAAAGCCAGGGTTTATGTGTCCCTTACTGCTTGGGCAGAACATTGCCTTTCCCTGTCAGGGCCACCTACGATGCCCACTTATATGTGTACCCCCCCCCCAAAGCCCAGGACCAGGCACACTGTGAGCTTGTCCCCCAAATCCTGCCTACATCTGCACTTTGGCGTGTGCCACCAGCCCAGCTTTCCTGGGTTGGTTTTTCCAGACAGGGTTTCTCTATATAGCCCTGGCTTTTCTGGAACTCGGAGATCTCTTCCCTCTGGTTCCTAAGTGCCCACCGGCCTTCCACCTCTTCCCCATTCAGTCAAAAATGTGGCTCAAAAAAGAGGTACCTTTATTAAAGAGCGGGCTCAGCACTGACGGCCAGGGCCCATGGCCTGCTCTATCAGCAGGAGTGGGGTTCACAGTTTTATCTAGCATTGTACATTCATCTGGCAATGGGCAGGGGAGCTGTACCAGGCTCAGTTCCTGGATAGAGATACTCAAGGGGTGCTGGCAGGAAGATGGCATGGAGAACGAGGACCACAGACCCTGCCCACCTTCTCTGGACCTTTGAACAGATGTATTTAAACCTATTAAAAAAAAAAAACAAGACACCTCCCAGGATAGCCAGGGGCCCAGAGAGGGTCAGTCCAACACATGTAACTGAGAGCCAATACAAGCAGTCTGTCCATCCTTAGGCAGGCTATTCAACTGGAACCTGGCCTCTTCGGAGATGCCAAACTGCTCCAGGGGATCCTGTGGAGTGCATGGTGGCTGTAAGCAACGCCAGGGAAAGCTGCCTCACCCCCTCCAGCCCCACACACCTTGCCGGTCATCTTCCTGATCTCATTCCTGTAGAAGATGAGGCTCCGTCGCATGTATTCATAGCTAGCCCGCTGCAGAGCCTGCATCCACTCCTGACACTGCTCCTGGCTGCAGCATTCAAAGTGGTATTTCCGGCTGAGGTCTTCCACGAAGCCTGGAAAAGGTGACAGGAAAGGCGCCACCTCTGGTCAGCGTCCAGTTGGTCTACATCTTACTGGCCACAAGTCCCAGCTTCCTCTCACCAGGGTTTCAAACTGCACCCTCTCTTGTTCTAACACGAAGCCATCTTCTGCCTGTCCTCCAGAATCCTGACCCTTGAACCCACAAATAGGGGGCCAATAGGAATATGCAAATGGAACTGGTAAATGTAAGGTCATCAGGGTAGGCCCTAAACTGAATGGAAATAGGATGTGGGAGATAGCTCTGTCGTTAAAGAGCCTGAAATGTAAGCATGAGGACCTAGTTCAAGCTCCAGCGTCCAGCGTCCATGTCAAGGAGTAGAATGAATGCACCTGAAACCTCGGTGCTGAAGAAAGAGAAGGAAGGGTTCCTAGGCTTGCTGGCCAGTCAGTAGAGCTTAAAAACAAGTCCCAGGTAGGATGGTGAGGTGGCCAAAGCAGGTAGGCGCCTGCTGCCAAGTCTGATGACCAGCGTTTTATGTTGGAGACCTCCATAGTGGAAGATGAGAACCAACCACACCAAAGTTTTCCTCTGGCCTGGCATATACCCAAAACACGTGTGCACGTGCGCAAGAAGCAGAAAATGGGGGTACAGATTGAGAACCCCACTGGATGATAGAGGTAGACATGATGGCCAAATCTCTGCAAGGTACTGTAAAGATTTCGCCAGGGGAGAAAGCTGAGACAGGTGTCACTTCAAACCCAGGCCGCACCCTGCCCGTGGCAGAGACGGCGGCAGAGGCTTGGCTATACACACCAAGTTCGCAGACTGTACCTCTCTCAGCTGGGAACGGGCAGAGGGTCGGGGAAGAAACTAAGACGAGAACCAGACCCAGTGGACACTGACAGCCGGGCCAGTCCTGGGCCACCAGCGGACGAGGGATCCAGAACAAACGGAGGCTCCTAAGGAAAAGGAACGGGTGCGCGGAGCAAGAGTCCGGGGTGGAAACAGTGGGGACCACAGCACTTACTGATAGAGAAGCCGCCCGGCTCTTCCTGGGCCACTCTGCAGCGCTCCAGCAACAGGGCTCCGATGGGCTGCGCGAGACACGGCCGTGAGCGCCAGCCTCCGGGCCGCGCGGGTCCCCCGCGCCCCCCACTCCCCTACCTCGGCCTCGTCCGGGCGGAAGTAAAAGAGGAAGTTGACCACCAGCTTCACCAGCCGCCTCTTGGCCACTGCAGGCACAGGGCGGTGTCAGCACGGAACGGTTCTCATCCGCCCACCCAGGAACCGCGCCGGCCCGCCCAAGTGCCCGAGACGCGGCCCCGAGGCTCACCGCTGCCCTTCTTAGGGCCCCGCATGCCCAGCTCGGCAGCCATCTCTGCCGGCTGCCGGGACAGCGCCTGCAACTCTTTCTCGTTGTACCGCATCTCGCCGCCCGGATCCTCGCGAAACAAAACGCGCCGTGCCTCTCGGCTGCCGTCCTCCCGAAAGGCGCAACCAGCGCCACAAAAGTCTCAGGGTACGACCTCGGAAGTCCCTACAGGGCTACTGCGCCTGCGTGTTGTGGGGCTTGTTGCTTGGCCCTAGTTTGTGAGTCGGCTCGGTTGAACACGGAGTCGGACGGGAAGGAAATCGCCCGTCCTTAAATAACCGTCAGAGACACTAAACGTGAGGTGTAAAGTTAGACTCATAGCACCCCACGGTAAGCGAGGCTCCTCAGGACGGTGAACCCGAACGTTTCCGTCCTGTCGCGATAGCCAGCGCCACTAGACTTGGGGCGGAGCGAGACCGTGGACAACGCAACGCGCACGCGCACTCCGTGTCCCCGCGCTCCTTTTTTCTCCCGCCTCCCCAGGGAGGAGTTCATCCGCTGGGCATGCGCACACGTGAAACCCCGCCTTATTTGCTCCCGGAAGGGATTGCTTTAGTCGGTCGTGCGCGTGCGCACAGCGAAATCGCGGCCTTGGGGAGATTAAGCCCGGGTGGCAAGGCCTCGGTGTTGGTGAGGAGCTGCACGGTTTGACGGTGGCGGTTGCCCCGTCTGTGGGGCTTGAAAGTGGGAGCGAGAGCGCGGGGGCGGGGAGTTGAGGGGAGGAGCGGTGACCGCCCTCTTTCCGCAGGCTTGGCTCGCTCCCTCCCGGAGGGCGCGCTCTCGCGAGGCCCGTTGGATCGTGGCGTGATCGCAGATTTCTGTGGCGCGTCCGTGGCCTCCAGGGTGGTTCGGGATCTTGGAGTGTCTTTTGACCTCCTTGGTTGCCTCAGTTTCCCTCTTCGTGAGTCGGGGCCCTGGCGACAACTGCTGGAATTAAAAGATAACGGTATATCCACTTAAAAGCGATTTGTCCTTGGACCAGGCCTGCGCTCAGACCTTTACCTTAACAAACACCTTGCTGTCCCTATTGATCGTTGTTCATCGGTAGTCTTTCGGTAGTCCGTGAGGTCGCACGTCTCCCATCCATTCGTCCTGGCCTCCTGTCCCTAGCTTCACCTGTGAGCCCATTCAGTCATCGGCACAACTTTTAATTTATTTCAGACAGGGTGTCACTGCATAACTGAGGCTTACCTGGATCTGTGGGCTAGGCCGACTTCGAGCTCGCATACATCCCCATGCCTCTGCCTCCCGCGTACTGTGAGTCACAGCGTGCGCCGCCACGCTTGGCTGGTTTGATTTGTTTTAAGGAAGCAGGGGTTTATTTTGGCTGACAGTATGAAGGTGCAGTCCGCTGTGGTGGTCGCGTTGCAGCAGGAAGCAGATAAATGCTGGTGTTCAAATCCCTTCCCCGTGTTTTTAAAGAACGTGTTTTATGTGTGTCTGTGTGGAGCTTTGTGTGTGAGCATGGTTGGTACCCATCGAGTCCAGAAAAGGATGTCAGATTCCCTGGAGCCGTAGTTTCTGGTTCTTTTGACCCGCACTAAGTCATCTTGCTGGCCTTCCCAGCACCCTTTTATTTGAGACAGGACCTCACTGCACAGCCCAGTGTGGTCTCTAACTCTAACCTAACCATCTTCCTACCTTGGTCTCTAAGGAGCTGGGATGAAATGTGTATACCACGGTACCCCACGTTTTCTTTGTTTCCTGAGGTTGGGAACTGTTGGTGGGCTGAGAGGTAGCTCGTTGCTGAGAGTGCAGAATTTGTGCTCCATATACGGGGCCAAGCAGTGTACACACTCAGGCAGGTTTTGTCCTGTTGTTTTCCCTCCAAAGCGGATGAGTTGCATTTTTGCAGTAGATACCTATACACACTCAGCCTCAAGCACACACTCCTAGGGGACCTTGTGCTGGACAAATGCTCCACCCTTGAGTTGCACCCTCAAGTCTGTGGCTGGACACCCAGTCTCCCTGGGAAGGCCAGCCAGAGTCCTGTGTTCTTGGAAGTTGTCTTTGCCAGAGGTTGAAGTGGTTTTCCATCCTCCTGCTGCTGTGGGCCCCCTTACTATGCTCCACAGCCCTCAGACTCTGCTCTTATGTCTGGCCAACGTCACCTCTGAGAGTGGGTCTCTGGGTAGCTTTCGAGGATGTAGACAATGCTCTTTTCAGTCCTTGTGTGGCTGAGTATGAAACATCCAGCAGGCCGGTCCTGCCCCACCACTTTCATGCACATCTCTCACCTGTCCCTTTCAGCATCTAGAGCGTCCTGTATCCTCTGCCTCTGGCCTCTTCCTCCTTCACAGCCAGTGATGTCAGTGTCCTGTCTGCCTCAGGCATACTCTGGTGACATTGTACTAACTAGGTACCTGGCCCTCAAGGTTCTTGGTGACATTTGCAGAACCCCTTGTGCTGTAGGAGACTCTGGCAGTGACAAGAACTGCCTCCACTTGTGTCCTGGGTGCAGGCTCTGGATTTACCTGTGGGTTTAAACCAAGGGCTGGGGCAGACACCGAGTAGTCTAAAGTGTTCTGCCGTCAGATAACACTGCTTGGAGGCTTTGCTTGAGCCTCAAAGTTGGGTCCCTTGGTACAGAGCACTCCATATGCCGTGTGTCAGGTAGAGGAGGTGGTGTGCTTTAATGCCAGGAAAGGCAGGCAGAGGCCAGCCTGATCTATGTTGAGTTCTAAGATAGCCATGGCTACATAGAGAACGTCTCTCAATAATAATAAGTTACATCGGGAGAGGTGACTCAGCTGTGGTCACAGCACTTGGGAGGCTCATGAGTTCAGAGAAAGGGTGGCCTGCCTGCTGGATTACCCTGCATCATCTACAGTGTGCTGAGCCTTAGTCGTCTTTGCTCCCCCAGGTTTCTTCCTGTCCCCTAAAGCACCCGTGCCTGCATCATGGACTTTCAGCATCGACCTGGAGGCAAAACTGGGAGTGGGGGCGTGGCCTCCTCCTCCGAGAGCAACCGGGACCGGAGAGAGCGCCTACGGCAACTGGCCCTGGAAACCATCGACATCAACAAGGTTGGGGGCGGGAGGGGGGGGGGAGACAGAGTTCCCACACCCACAGAGCCGTCCCCACACCTCAGTCCCTGGTTCAGGGGGCCAGGCTTTGTGGTTTAACGGTGCATTTATTCACTCCCAGGACCCATATTTTATGAAGAACCACCTGGGATCCTATGAGTGCAAGCTCTGCCTGACTCTGCATAACAATGAGGTATCCGCCCCTCCGGCCCCTCCACTCTTCTACACTGGTGAGGTGACCTTGGTAGGCCTTGGACCTGCCACCCAGAGCCAATGGCTCACTCAGTATTGGTCTGGTTTCATTGAATTCCAGTTTTGCCAGCTCTGGGGATCAGAGCTCAGCCTAGGGCTTGGCCATGCTGGGTAAGCAGTGAGCTTCACCCCAGGTCAGTCCTGGAGGCGGGGCTCCCTGTGCAGCACAGATGAGCCTGGAGCTCTGTGTGTGGAGATGGCTGGCCGTGTGCTGATGCTCTCACCTGTGTCCTCAGCTGGCCCTCTGACATAACGGCACTTGTTGGCTGGACACCAGATATTCTTTATCCTTTTTCTTTGACTGTTTGCTCTGTGAATGTCCTCACAAATAGTAATCGATGGCAGCCAGCAGCAGAGTTGCTTCTGCACTTTGGGGGATCAGGGGTGTGTGTGGCTATTGTCCCTTCTTCTGAGGGGGGAGAGGACTCTGGGATTTGTTTCCCCACCCCGTCTCTGGAGGAGCAGACTAATGAGCAGTGACTGGAAGCCGTCTGTCTGTGTTGACAGTGGGTGTGCTGAGCTGCGTCCTGGGCCACATGTCTCTGGTGGTGGGCTTAGCACGGAAGACTGCACTGTGTGCTGCTCTCAACTACACAGGGGTTTCTAGGGAGGGGTGGGGGCAGTGCGAGTCACAGGTCTCTCAAGTGGAGCCATAGCCACTGTGATGCCCTGCAGACTCCATGCTCCAGCGAGCTGCAGGCCTCAGCATGCCTTTCCAGGTGAGCGGCTGCAGGTCCCGGTCCTGCCCTCCCTCCCTACAGTGGCATGTCTCCTTTCTCTCTGCAGGGGAGCTACCTGGCCCATACCCAAGGGAAGAAACATCAGACTAACCTGTGAGCCCCTAAAATCCCTGGTACCCCAGGACCACAACACTGCTACTCAGGAGGGAGATGTTCACGTGGGCTGGATGAATGGGGGGGGGGCACCTGCATCTGCATTCTTGACCCCCTACCCCCACCTCCTGTTTCAGCCTTACTGTCTCAGTGTAGAGCAGATGGCCAAGGGGCAAGGACGGGGCAGTGCCGGGGTTCTCCCCTGCTCTGCCCTGTTTGATGGACCCCAGGACTGAGCTGCTCAGTCCTCTCCTTCAACTCCGAGAGCAGAGGCTCTGCTCCTGGGTGCTCAGCCTTGCTGGCTGGTGGGGGGCTGAGCACCTGCGCCTGTTTACAGGGCCCGGCGAGCTGCCAAGGAAGCCAAAGAAGCCCCCGCCCAGCCTGCTCCGGAGAAGGTCAAGGTGGAGGTGAAGAAGTTTGTGAAGATTGGCCGCCCAGGCTACAAAGGTGTGTGTGTGTGATGGCCTGCCCACGGCTGTGGGCTGCGGTGTGAATGAGCCCTGGGCTCTGGCACCGGACACACTGCTGCATCCTCTGCCCTTGCAGCAGCTGTTCCTTTAGTGTTGCCAAAAGCCCCCAGGTGCAGATAAGCACCATCCCCAGGGCCAACTTCCAGAGCAGGAGGGGAGGCAGCCTGCTGCCGTCAGTGCTCCTAGAGCCCCTCTGCAGAGGCCCCTGGGTGTCCTGGGCGGGCCAGAAAAACAGTCCTGTGGCCCGCAGGAACCCAGGGAGCCAAGTTGCCAAGAGTCCCCTCTGGCAGGCAGGGTCGGGGAGGCTGTGACACAACACTGCCCCGCCCGTGCTCTTCTGAGACTTTGGCTGCTGCCCCTGCATAGTGCTGGGTGGGGCGGCCCTCACTTTAGGTCCTAGCCATGTGGCCACAGGGCAGAGAAGCCAGGCCTTGTGCTGAGGGACCTTGCTGTGGTATACACACACCCACAGCACATGACAACCCCTTCCCCTCTGTTCCAGTGACCAAGCAGAGGGACACAGAGATGGGCCAGCAGAGCCTGCTGTTCCAGGTGAGGTGGGACCAGTCAGGGGTGGAGCAAACGCACGGGTGGTGGTGCCAACACAGCTGTGTGTGTGTTCCCAGATTGACTACCCTGAGATCGCAGAGGGCATCATGCCGCGGCACCGCTTCATGTCTGCCTACGAGCAGAGGATTGAGCCCCCGGACCGCCGCTGGCAGTACCTGCTCATGGCTGCTGAGCCGTATGAGACCATCGCCTTTAAGGTGCCAAGCCGGGAGATTGACAAGGCTGAGGGCAAGTTTTGGACCCACTGGAACCGAGAGACCAAGCAGGTGAGGTCCCACAGGCCTCCCATGGGTAACCTCCCCACCCTCCATGGCCCTGCTCCAGTTGCTGACCCTCCCCCTACAGTTTTTCCTACAGTTCCACTTTAAGATGGAGAAGCCTCCGGCCCCTCCCAGCCTCCCAGCAGGACCCCCAGGCGTCAAGCGGCCCCCACCTCCACTCATGAATGGACTGCCCCCTCGCCCCCCACTCCCTGACACCCTGCCACCACCTCCACCTGGTGGCCTTCCTCTCCCTCCTATGCCCCCCACTGGGCCTGCTCCCTCTGGTCCCCCTGGACCCCCCCAGATGCCCCCACCAGCTCCTGGGGTACACCCCCCAGCACCAGTGGTCCATCCACCAACATCTGGGGTCCATCCCCCAGCTCCTGGGGTCCATCCCCCAGCTCCTGGGGTCCATCCCCCAGCACCAGTGGTCCATCCACCAACATCTGGGGTCCATCCCCCAGCCCCTGGAGTGCACCCACCAGCCCCTGGAGTGCACCCACCAACCCCTGGAGTGCACCCGCCAGCCCCTGGAGTGCACCCGCCAGCTCCAGGGGTCCACCCGCCAGCTCCAGGGGTCCACCCGCCAGCCCCAGGGGTCCACCCTCCTCCATCAGCTGGAGTTCATCCTCAGGCTCCAGGGGTGCACCCACCTGCTCCTGCAGTCCACCCTCAAGCCCCTGGCGTACACCCCCCAGCCCCTGGGATCCATCCTCAGGCACCAGGGGTACACCCCCAGCCTCCTCCTGGAGTCCACCCTACTGCCCCGGGGGTCCATCCTCAGCCTCCAGGGGTTCACCCCTCAAATCCTGGAGTGCACCCTGCTCCTATGCCCCCCATGTTAAGGCCCCCACTCCCCTCAGATGGCCCTGGGAACATGCCTCCCCCTCCCCCAGGCAACTGAGAAGTTCCCCCACCAGCCTTCGTGGTCTGTGTGGTCTTTTCCCATGGCCAGTCCTTGGAAGGTTTTCTATTTTGTCCTGTCCTGAGCCTATTAAACAACCTCCCCCACGTCTCCCCGTCTGCAGTGTGCTTTAGTAGTGGGGATGGGTGGGTACTGCTTGTCTCTGTTGAAGACATGGTGACCCGGAGGGTCCCCAGGCAGATGGGAGCTACTCAAGGACAGCTCCAGCCTCTGCAGTTGTGGGCCCAGCTCTGAGGACAGAAAGCCCTTTGAGACAGCAGCCTCCCACCTGCTGGGCATGTAGAGCGCCAGGCACTGTCCCCCAAGGTCACCTCTGGAGTTGATAGGGGTGTCCTTCCCAAGCCTCTGCCTCAGCCATACATATAAGCAGGGCCACTCAGCCCTTGTTGTAGCACCATGCAGGGGTCATGCCTCTCTCCACTGGCACTGCTGCTGGTGACCATAGGGGCTGTATTACAGGCCGACACAGCTGAAGAGCTGGCCACCAACGCCAGGGGCCTCATCTTCTTTGAAGATGGACTCTGGCCTCCCAGCAGCCCCCCTGAGCCTTTGTGCCTGGTGACAGTGAGGGGAGAGGGGAACACAACCAGAGCTTCCCTGAGGGTGGTAGGAGGCCTGGACAGCTATGAGCATGCCTTCCTGGAGGCTGTCCAGGAGTCTCGCTGGGGACCCCAAGACCTGGCCACTTTCGGAGTCTGCAGTACAGACTCCCAGGCTACCCTGCCTGCCCTGCAGCGCCTTGGGGCCTGGCTAGGGGAGACGGGGGAACAGCAGTTGCTAGTCCTACATCTGGCTGAAGGTACGTGATGGACTGTCTCAGTGCCCGTGCTGCCTTGGGACTACCTGAGGCTCCCAGGGTTTGGGCAGAAGCTGGAGGGGGGCACAGGGGCCAGGGGGAGAGGGCTTGCTTGATTGCCAGGCAGAGCCTTGTATACCCTTGTGGTAGCTGTAGTGTGCAAGATGGCCACACCTTCCCAGACAGGCTGACTACAAAGCAGACCTGCTGTGTCCCTACCTGCAAGGTCTTCACACCTTGGATCGGGGTCCCTCAGACCTTCATGACCCCAGAAGATCCCCAATTAGAGTCCAGCTGAGGGACTCTCTGTAGGACAGGCCTTGGGGGACAGAAGCTGATGGCCTCAGAGACTTAGTTGTCACCAATATTTGCCCACAGTGATATGGGAGCCCAAGCTCTTGCTGAAGTTCCAAGAGCCTCCACCTGGGGGAGCCAGCCGCTGGGAGCAGGCCCTGCTAGTGCTATACCCTGGACCAGGCCCCCAGGTCACAGTCACGGGGGCTGGACTGCAGGGCACACAGGTACCAGAGACTGGCATGGGCCCATCCCAACAGCCCTCTGGTTGAGGGTTGGGGGAGAGGTTGTGCCAAATGGAAGGGTTTCCGGGGTTAGGAGTACACCCGGGAGTCTATCGGCAGTATGGCAGGGGTGGTGCCTGTGCCCTCACCATCTTCCGGCCGACTGAGTCCCTGTGTCCACAGAACCTCTGCCCTACTCGGGACACCCGCTATTTGGTGCTGAGCATGGACTTCCCAGCGGGGGCCTGGAGCGGCTCGGGCCTCTCCCTAACCCTTCAACCAAGCAGAGAAGGTAGGTCCCAGCAGAGGGAAGGCGACAGTGTGGAAGGAGGCTGCACTTAGCCCTCGTCCTCAGCCAGCACGTGCCCACCCTCTACAGGTGCCACCCTGAGCCTCCCTCAGCTGCAGGCTTTTCTGTTTGGCTCTGATTCCCGGTGTTTCACGCGGATGACTCCCACCCTGGTGCTGCTGCCACCCGCCGGGCCGTCACCACAGCCAGCACATGGCCAGCTGGACACCTTGCCTTTCCCGCAGCCCGGGTGCGCACAGGGATGGAGGAGGAACTGGGACGTTGGGCGGTAAAGGGTCCACCACAGCCTCTTATGCTCACAGCTGGGCCACTTCCTTCTATTCTAGGCTGTCCCTGGAGCCTGAGGACCTGCCACACAGTGCTGACCCCTTCCTAGAGACCCTCACTCGCTTGGTTCGTGCTCTGCGGGGACCTCTGACTCGGGCCTCGAACACACGTCTGGCCCTGGACCCTGGTGCTCTGGCCAGCTTCCCACAGGGCCTGGTCAACCTGTCAGACCCCACAGCACTGGGACGCCTGCTCGATGGGGAGGAACCCCTGTTACTGCTGCTGTCACCCGCTGCGGCCACCGTGGGGGAACCTATGCCACTGCACGGCTCCGCTTCTGCTCCCTGGGCAGCGGGCCTGGCACGCAGGGTAGCGGTGGAGCTTCAGGCGGCAGCCTCGGAACTGCGGGACCTCCCGGGCCTGCCACCCACAGCTCCCCCGCTGCTGGCGCGCCTGCTGGCGCTGTGCCCCAACGACTCTCGCAGCGCCAGGGACCCGCTGCGCGCGCTGCTGCTGCTGAAGGCGCTGCAGGGCTTGCGTGCCGAGTGGCGTGGGCGGGAAGGGCGCGGGAGGGCGGGGCGCAGCGCGGGGACAGGGACAGATGGGCCATGCGCACTGCGCGAGCTGAGCGTGGACCTGCGCGCAGAGCGCTCAGTGCTCATCCCGGAGACCTACCAAGCCAACAACTGCCAAGGCGCCTGCGCGTGGCCGCAGTCCGACCGCAACCCGCGCTACGGGAACCACGTGGTACTGCTGCTAAAAATGCAGGCCCGCGGGGCCGCCCTGGGGCGCCTGCCCTGCTGCGTGCCCACTGCCTACGCTGGCAAGCTACTCATCAGCTTGTCCGAGGAGCGCATCAGCGCGCACCACGTGCCCAACATGGTGGCCACCGAGTGCGGCTGCCGGTGACGCCCTCCCCACCCCTGTCAGCGCCCCAATAAAGATCAGCAAACACTCAGCTGGGGTGTCTGTGGGTGGAGGGAACTCCTGTCAACCTCCCTTCTAACATGCAAGGCTTGCCTCCTTCCCACCCACCCTCCTACCCCCCCATGGGAGAGCTCTCTGTCCCTACCACTTTCCTGTTTTCAAGACAGGATCTCTCTTATGTAGACCAGGCTGGCCTCTAACTCACAGATCCTCTTGCCTCTGCCTCCCCAGTGCTAGGATTAAACTCCTGGACCCTGTAGCTTTTTTAATTAGTTCATTTGTATGTGTGGCGGGGAGAGAGAGGTGCCTGGCCGGAAGGAAGTTGAAGCAGGAGAAACGCTTCAAGTCAGGCCTGAACTACAGAGCAAAACTGTTTCAAAAAGCAATGGAGCCGGAGAAACGGCTCGGCAGCAGAGGATGCTCGCGCATCCCAACAAACACAAGTTCAGATCTTTACAAGCAAACAAGCGCCGAGTGTAGTGTGCAGAGTGTAGTGTGCACACCTGTCCTCCCAGCGCTCTGGAGGCGGAGACAAAAGGAGCAGGACTTTAAGCCAGGCCTGGCTGCACATGCTTGCGCAGTCGCAGTGTACAGATGGAGGTCAGAAAGCGGAACTAAGTGGAGTGGAGCCTCTGCCTCCACGGTGTGGGTCCCGGGATCGAACTCAGGGGATCGGCCTTGGCAGCAAGTACTTTTACCCACTCCACTATCTCACCCGCCCTATCCCATTTCTTCGACCCTTAGGGTCCAAGCACAAAGGAGCAAACATTGTGGCTGTCACAGCACGGCCTTTATTGGCTGGTGCTACAGAGAGAGGGGACGCGGGAATCAGGGCAGGATCAGCCACGCCCCTTTCCTCCACGGGGCTTCTGTCTGGGCCGGTCATCACGGTCATGCGGTCGTCGCCGGGGAGCCCAGGCCTGAAGCTTCCCAAGCTCGAGATCCCTGGAGTCCCGCCTCCATGGCCGATGGCCTGCTTCCCGAGCCTCCCAGCGCCGTGGCAGTGATTGGCGGGGCTCCCTAGTGACCTGTGGCTTCTCCCTCTTCGGCTTCTCCCTTCTCGGCTTCTCCTTCTTCAGTTTCTCCCCTTTTCTTGGCTTCTCTTTCCGTGGCTTCTCCTGGGACCCTAGGTCCCCAAGGGGTGCGTGCTCCTCCCCAGAGGCTTCTGAGAGGGACTCTCCAGGTTCTAGCTGGGTTTCTGTAGCCTCAGGGCTCCTGGGAAGCTCAGGCTCATTCTGCATCTGTGCCTGGAGTGCTGGTGGCCCAGGTTTCGGCTGAGGAGGCCCGGGTGGGGACACCAAAACTGGAGGTTTAGGCTGCCAAGAGACAAAGTGGGGTCCTGGAGTCCGCGCACACAGGCCCAGCCTCCTCCGTTGATGACCAGCCCCATCAGGTGAAATCACTGAACGGAAGGCTTACCGCTGCTGCTGGCTTCTTGGTTGGAGAGCTAGGCGAGATCCACTGCTGAGGGGCAGCCACGGACTCCCCAGCCACTGCGTCTGAAAGGCAGGCAGTCTGAGCTAGAGGAATGGATACAGCCACCTACCTCTTCCCTGCCCTCAACCCCAGAACTCTGCTGGGGTACCCCAACCTCCAGCTAGAGGCCTCTCTTTTTTCTCTGTGGAGTGGCCATTCCCCCGGGGCTAGCAATAATGTGGGGCGATCCTCTGCCTCAGACTCAGCCATGTCTGTCTGTCATCCTAGCTGGAGGAGTGCTGAGACATTAGGATTGCCATGAGACACAGGATAGCCCTGTGCCTTTGTGAAGTGATCTCTTGACTGAAAACAAAAAGCCAGTGCCCAAGGTATACTCCTGCCATCCTAGATCTTGGAAGGTCAAAGCAAGGAGGGTCAGGGGACCGTTCTGAGCTACATAGAGAGGTTGAGGCCGTGAGAGTTTTGTCTGAGTGGTGGTGGCATACATTCCAGTATTCGGGAGGGAGAGACGGCTCTCTAAGTTTAAGGCCAGCCTGGGATATAAAATTGAGTTCCAGCCAGCCAGGGGTACATAGTGAGACTCTGTCTCAAAATGAGTGACTGAGTGAGTGACAAACCCAGAACATCTGGAAACCAGGCCTGGTTGTGAAAACTTAACGTAGACACCACAAAGCTAGGAGCTTTGTGTGACCTTGGGCCTCACAGGCTTGGGGGCAGGCTCGTCCGGGAATAGGGGAGGAGACACCAGCCAGCGGAAGGTTTGTAGAACTGTAGAGTTACAGCCCAAGGCAAGGCTGGAGGGAATGCCCCCATCCCTGTGGAGTCCCTGCCCTGT